CATAAGGTATTCAGTATTACAAAAAAATACAGCCTTTCATCGCTTGATCGTGCGGTCTACTCGTAAAGGCAGTGCTCTCCGAGTTTAATGGTGAAGGTTCGAGTCCCAGATGGGAATGATTTTTTCTTCTATTTCATCAAAGATCCTTCCAAAAAGGATTAAGTAAAATAAAAAACACTAGGCTTGCACCACAAGAACTGGTGGTGTAGTGGTGAAGACGATGATCTGCCATGTATACAGTCGATGGTTCAAGCCCTGGATAAACCGAAAAAGAAAAAGGTAACAAAGTGAGAATTTGTGAGTGTGAGAGGAGTAGAGCGAGAGGGCGAATATGCCTTCGCCTTGGGCGAGGAGTAGACTGAGGGGGGTTCTCTTTCCCCCGGCTTTCCTGACTTTCAAAGCAAGCTTTCTTCAAACATTTAATTGTATTAGGGGGTAGTTAGGGATACATGAGGATAGGTAAAAGTTGGGATAGATAGGGGTAAATAGGAGGATAAATAGGGGTAAAGAGGTTTAAATGAGTACAAAAAGACTTAAACATTTTATATACTGTTTTCTCACCTATACCCTCCCCCCGCCCCGGGAGCCGAGGCCGCCCAATTACTAAGTCTTTTTGTACTCATATACCCCTCATTCACCCTATCTATCTCCTGATTTCCCTAAAGATTAACTTTGATTTCCAAAGATTAACCGAATATATATTTCTCTCGAGCAACATACCTACAATTTTTTTTTATAGCGCCATCAGAATCGTACCATCCTATTCTTGATACCTCGATCTTGTACTTGATAGTCCACAACTTTACCACAAGGCTAACTGGTGATTGTTGGAAGCCTACACCAACTTATTCTCCATAACCTTACCATGTAATATTAATAACGAAAATTTCCATCTAAAACGAGATATGAACCTTCGACTGTCGACACATGAGACCAACATCTTGACCACTAGACTACAAGATCTTCCGCTAAACGGTTATGGTTATTTAATTTACTTTACCCTTTTCACGAAATTCATAATGAAAAACGGTTATAGTAGGATTCGAACCATCGATTTACCACTTGGAAGACCATTGTCTTCGCCACTAGACCACGAGAACTTGTGCTGAAAGGCTATGGTTATTTAATTTACTTTATCCTTTTCACGAAGTTCATAATGAAAAACGGTTATGGCAGGATTCGAACCATCGATTTACTAGTTGGGAAATCATTGCCTTCGCCACTCGACTACGAGATCTTGTGCTGAATGGCTATGGTTATTTAATTTACTTTATCCTTTTCACAAAGCTCATGTATAATGAAAAATAGTTATACTAGGATTCGATACCTCGATTCACCACTTGAGAGACCATTGTCTTCGCCACTATACTACAAGGTCTTGTGCTGAACGGCAATGGTTATGTAATTTACTTTATCCTTTTGTTGAAGGACATAATGAAAAAGAGGTAAGCTTGGATTCGAACGACTGACTTACACTTGGGATACCATTGTTTTCACCACTAGACTACGAGAACGTCCTGAACGGCTATGGTTATTTAATTTACTTATCCTTTTCTTGGAGGACATAATGAAAAACAGGTATGCTGGGATTCGAAACAGCTATACCAGGATTTGATCCATCGATTTACCATTTGGGAGACCATTGCCTTCGCCACTAGACTGCGAGTTCTTGTCCTGAACGGCTATGGTTTTTAAATTTAATTTATCCTTTTCTTGAAGGACATAATGAAAAACAGCTAAACTAGGATTCGATCCAGCGATTTACTTATCCTTTTCTTAAAGGACATAATGAAAAACAGGTACACTGGGATTCAAACCATCGATTAACCGCTTGGGAGACGATTGTCTTTACCACCATACTACGAAATCTTGTGCTGAACGACTATGGTTATTTAATTTACTTTATCCTTTTTTTGAACGACATAATGAAAAAGAGGTAAGCTTGGATTCGAACGACTGACTTACAATTGGGAGACCATTGTTTTCACCACTAGACTACGAGAACGTCCTGAACGGCTATGGTTATTTAATTTACCTATCCTTTTCTTGGAGGACATAATGAAAAACAGGTATGCTGGGATTCGAGCCATCGATTAACCACTTGGGAGACGATCGTCTTTACCACCAGCCTACGAAATCTTCTTTTGAGAGATGCAAATTTGGCAGCTACGAGACTTTTCACTAAGCACCGTGTAACATGGCCTTTAGTATATACGATATTGCTCAATGTGGTGATTGTGGGATTATTACTCGTTCAATGCGACTGCGCGGAGTTTCTTAATTCTAAATTTCGCTTTTTATTGTTTTGCAATGGTGTATGAATGTGTTTAAAAAAGGCAAAGTGTCACTGACACAATAGTTGACACAATAATTACTCCGGCGTCAGCGACGGAGTTGAAAATTCGCCCCGGTTTTGTTTTGTTTTTGTTTTTTTTTTGTTTTTACTCCGGCGTCAGCGACGGAGTTGAAAATTCGCCTCGGTTTTGTTTCGTTGTTGTTTTTTTTTTTTTTTTTATTTTTTTATTTTTCGTCGTCGCAAGTCTGAAATGGCGCGAAACATTGTAGTACTTAAAATGTGTATGTAACCGTATTTATCTACGTCCCAGTCTTATCTCCCAAGAGTTGTGGTGCACAGCTTTGGCTAATTTTCCGATGCGCGATTCGATTTCGCTCGCATGATACGGCAATTCCTCCAAGAGGCAATAAACCGTTGTTTTCATGCTGTTCGATTAAGTTTTGATTGAATTGGGGTAAGAATATATTAATACATGTTGATTCTGGTCCTATTTTAATAATATCACTGCTATTTCGCATTTTCGCCGTCTAACAAAATGATGTGGTCGTGTATGGGCGCGTGGACACTTCGTAGTTTGCACAGGATTGAAGATTTAATATAACTATACAAGCGCGAATTCCAAAGGCAAAGTGTAAGACAAAGCGAATGTATCATGCGGTTTATTTACATTTTTGAACAATTGAACTTCTATACTTTTTAAAGTACGATGTGCTTCTGGATTTCGCGATCGAACATTTATAATTATAGGTTTCGCAAGGTATCTAAATGCGAATATGAACTGTATTGTTTATGTTCAGAAGCTCTATATTAAAGACTGGCACGTGCGCCGGAGTTAACGCCAGAACGGGCGTCTTGTTTTTTTATTTTTCGTCGTCGCAAGTCTGTAATGGCGCGAAATATACAAGTATTTAAAACGTGTATGTGACTGTATTTATATACGTCCCAGTCTTATCTCCCAAGAGTTGTGGTGCACAGCTTTGGCTAATTTTCCAATGCGCGATTCGATTACGCTCGCATGATACGGCAATTCCTCCAAGAGGAACAAATAAACCGTTCTTTTCATGCTGTTCGATTAAGTTTGGATTGAATTGGGGTAAGAATATATTTCATACATGTAGACCTGGTCCTATTTTAATAATATCGCTGCTATTTCGCCGTGGGCGCGTTGACACGTCGCGTAGTTTGCACAGGATCGAAGATTTAATACAACTATATAAGCGCGAATTCCAAATGCAAAGTGTAAGACGAAGCGAATGTATCATGCGGTTTATTTACATTTTTGAACAATTGAACTTCTATACTGCGATGTGCTTCTGAATTTCGCGATCGAACATTTAGGTTCGCAAGGCATCTAAATGCGAATATGTATGCGAAACAATACGCGAACTGTATTGTTTATGTTCAGAACTTCAGAAGCTCTATATTGAAGACTGGCACGTGCGCCGGAGTTAACGCCAGAACGGCGTCTTGTTTCATTAAAAACAGTGAAGAACAATAAAGTGAGTAAAGAACATTTGAAATTTTATTGATTTCGTCGAATATAGTGCACTATGACCACGTGCACACATCATATGCGCAGATAATTAAATATAGTACACGTACATGACTGCAAATTTCTAGTTACCATAATAAAAGAAAATTTCCCGCGGATTTTAACTTCAATCTCTTCAGTTGCGACCTGTGAGACCAAACCTTGAATTATCTTCGCCACTACGCTTGATGTTAAGAACTACATTTATCTATTTTACCCAACCCTTTTTAAATGTGTATTATGAAAAATATCGTGTTCTCGAAATAACGCGGAAGAACTAGCCCTACAAGCTCGCTTTCCCACTGATTATTTCTCGTTCCCCAAACTCCCACGCGTGTTTCCATAACTGTATAGAAACACGGAAAATGTTTTGTATTTCCTAAATACGCCATCCAGTTCCACATCTGTATCTATAACACTGGCACTGAGCTATATAATAGTTCCAGAATTATTACATATTATTATATAGCCCAGTGACTTTTATATTTATATTCATTTATATGGAAAATATTATAAAAAAGGTCGGTGGTGTATACTAGCTTAGTGGTCCATACTCAGCCTCGTTCCCAGACGCTTTAAATAAAATATATAGGAACACTACAGGCTTTTACATAGATCAGTGGCTAACCTGAGCGAGCGCACAAGGAATTTTGGGGAGGACGCAGGGAAGGAAGCTCCATTTCTCCGTCGCGTCCCCCGCTAAAACTCCTTGCGCGCTCCCTCAGCTTAGGCACTGATCTGTGTAAAAGCCTGTAGTGTTCCTATATTTACTTTATTTAAAGCGTCTGGGAACGAGGCTGGATCTATACTTATTCCAATGGACACCGCAGAAATTGGTGTTTTAAGACGTTTCAACCCGAAAATCTAATCGCTGGTTCACAATTGTGCATTTCTGTACCGCTATCAAAGAGAAACCTTTGAATATCTTAAAAAAGTTCAATTTTCCTTCTGAATACGCATTCTGCAATCTTTCGACAGCTCATCATACACATCTGACCGCTGTGAAATAGCCATTTTGAGGCTTAAAGTATACACAAGGTTATTAATTCAGACGAATCGTTTTTACCGTGTGCAAGCTTCAAATCTTTTGTGCAAGACATATTTTCTTGAATATTTATAAATGTTTTTTCTCACCAAGTTTGAAGTCTAAGTATTGAGAATTGCGGCTAAGTCTATACCAATTTCTGCGGTGTCATTCCAATGGCATGTTTTATTAGAGTTCACTGTCTTACTCTGTGCACTTACTCTGATTTTATTTATAACCCATTACTAAACACCAAGTTTAATATCAGTCGTGATGGCCGAGTGGTTAAGGCGTTGGACTCGAAATCCAATGGGATTTTCCCGCGCAGGTTCGAATCCTGCTCACGACGATTTTTACATTTTTTCTTCTTTTCTAAGTATTTATCTTTTCTTTTATCCTCCCCTAGTTCGCATCATTCTACCTCTCATACGCTCAAATACACGAAAATCAAAAATATTTTCAAAAGATAATACATAAAAATCAGTTGTGAATGTCGCTGGATAGTGTAGCATTCTCGTGCACAGTTCCCCACCGCGCACAAAGTTTGAAAGTGTTTTTGTTTTGATGTCGGAACGCGTGAAGTTTCTCGGAGAATCGCGATGAAAACATCAACTAATTTCACCATAACTTTCGGCGTCGAATGCTTTCCTCGCCTTCTTCAATTCCTCATTCATTGTCAGTAAATCCTAAAAGAAATGAAAGCGAAATTCGCTTATTTGATGTCACATAAACATTTAACAAAAATTATACCACGAGCTCGAGTCGAATATAATATGAGCTGATAACATATTTTATTATATAGCTACTATAAATACCATTTTATTTATAGCGAAATAAACATTGTATGAAAATTTAAATAGTTCGTCTATTGATTCAATCTTGGTCGATCTTTTGCTCAATGTTTACATGTTAAATTGAATTTAAAAACATTTGTGTTTGAGTGAGTCTACTCTTATATTGTGGCACTTATTAGAGTTTAATGTTTTTATAATAGGTTTTCAATATCAAAACTAAAAAGTTTGAATGTAATTTAAACAAATTAATGTTAGAATGAATGGGTTTTATATTGAAGTGTCATGTTTATGAGAAAGAGCTAGAACAGCATTTCTGGAGGGGAAGTCTGAATAAAAAGGGACATGCTCTACACTGTAGTATTTTTTGGCATATTTATACTTGCATAGTATATATTGCCATACATGTATACACTATGTGGTTGTGGCCCCTCTGAGCTATCATGCCAGGGACAAGTTGTTCAAACCACAGTTAATAACAGTGCAGAAGCACATAAACTAAAAAAGTGGAATAACAATCTAGCTTTGAACAACAGGCTTCAGATGTTGCTGAGGCAGTGGGTCTACATATAAATCAACCAACCTTCACTCTGGCATATTTTTTCGGGTCCTTGCGGATTAAAAACACAATATCCTCAACATGAACACGTCCTTTTTTTCCGATTGCCATCGCCTTTACGGTCTGAAGATCCAAGAAATTCTGATCATTATTAAATACAACTTCCTCTTGGCCTCACAAATCAGAAATCCCAAGAAACATACCATTTCAGAAATATATTCAATGACCAAGTCCTCAAGTAAGTCAACCGATTCTGTAAAAGGAGCCTGGTCATCACCAAAGCCATACATCATGCATCGCACTACATGAAAGATTCAATTATTTGAATGCAGTTTCACTATAAGTAATATAAATATATATCTCAACTGTAAATTGTACAACCATACAGCTTGATTGATAGTCAGATACCAAATTTTGGATATCTTTCTCAGGCATTCCATACACATTAAGCTAACACAACTCATGGTAAACCTTCAAAATTCATGATAATGTAGGTCTAGTGTTCTACAATAAGCTGCCGTGGTTTGTGTCTCAACCATCTGAAAAAGATTTCTCAAACGTGGTGGTTCAGTGTTGGTAGAATTCTACAATAAGCTGTCATGGTTTGTGTCTGAACTACCTGAAAAAGGTATCTAAACATGGTGGTTCAGTGTAGGTAGTATTCTACAATAAGCTGTCATGGTTTGTGTCTAAGAAAGATATCCCTACTTATCTCAAGCGTAGTCACCCACTACAAGCTACTACTAACAGGTTCTGAAGGTTAAAGGATATTCTACATAGTTGTATCTTTGTGATATTCACCATGTATTTTTCTTGTATTTTTTATTTCTAAGCTGAAATAAATTACATGGTGTATATCACACACATTTAACAACTTTTAACAAAACTATGCAAAACTTTAAAGAAGATATTCTACATGTCTAAAATCCAAAATACGAAACCCAAAATATTGTACTTACATTCTTTGTGAAAAAGACGTTTTCTCTTGCCGGCGTTAGCGGGTTCTTCCTACCACAAAAAATACATTTAAAACATGAGAAATGAGCCTAATATAACGTAGTTCTTCCACGCGGTTCAACTTTAAATAAAACAAGAGAAGAGGGTTAGAAGCTGACCTCTTTCCCACTGCTGTCGGGATGATCGTCCTCGTCCGCCATGTTGATGATCTCCGATTCACATTCCGCCCCGCGAGCCTGTCGTGAAAAATGTCATGCGTGGGACTCCCGCGCGCGTTACCCACATCTCGCGTGATGAGTATGAAGTTGTGTCTGTCCCTTGTCAGAGGTTTACTACGTACGTGTTGGAGAGATTGAATTCGAGAGGTGTGCTTGTATTACAGAGCCGTCTGCATTAGAGAGGTGTCAGTATTAGATAAATGTCTGTATTAGAGAAATGCTCGAATTAGAAAAATTTGTATTAGAATGATGTCTGTATTAGAGAGATGTCTGTTTTAGAGGCTTGTCTGTATTAGAAAGATATCTGTATTAGAGACTTGTCTGTATTAGAGAGACGTTTGTATTAGAGAGATGTCTGTATTACAGAGTTGTCTGTATTAGAGAGTTGTCTGTATTACAGAGTAGTCTGTATTAGAGAGTTGTCTGTTTTAGAGAGTTGTCTGTATTAGAGAGTTGTCTGTATTAGAAAGTTGTCTGTACCAGTGAACTCTATACAACTGGAACGAAAAATCCTGACAAACAACCCTATTCAGCTTGAGGCCAAAATAGTTTTTCTGAGTTTTGAGACGAAATACTTGACGCCAGACGTTGGGCTGTGTGCAAATTAAACGGTTATTGAAAAGTTATATTTGGTGTGGAAATTTCAAGAAATATTTAAAAAAAACAAACAATTACCAACCGGCAAAAAACTGGGGAATTTCCACATTTTACTTAGATATTTACCTTTAAGCTAAAGTCTAGAAATTTCTACACGAAATATAACTATTTAATAGGTGTCTCTATCAGAGAGAGAGAGAGAGACGTAAGCATGTATGAAATGACTCAATCCAAAGACTGCATGATTTAAACGTACTGTTCCCTGTCAAAGCAATCAAATAATCGATAACACTTTTACATTTATTTCTATTAATGCTGCTATAAGCCTACATTTCAAAACATACCTTACAGACTATTACAAGCTACATTTAGCAGTGTGCATGATATTACAGACTTTCAAACTCTACACAAATCTAATCAACTTTTGCTATTTTGTTGAAGAAAGCACGACAATTTTTCCCTACAGGACTGGGTGGGCAAAACCTTCAATTTTTGTCATATGATACGAAAAGCCAACTGTGATTGAAAACTCAAAACGATGTCAAAATAAACTAATTCATGGCAAAATTTTTATCAGCAAAACTTTACCGGTAATTTATATTTACGCTTATTGATATGCTTATATTCCCCAAACCATTAACAGTGCGCTTGTCAGATTCTGACAATACACTGAATATGGCAGTTCTATCTATCTGGAACAATGCTAGAATTAATGAACTTCAAAGGCTGAATACGAAAGAATTATTACATCACACGAACCTTAGGTTCTAAATCAATCTTAAAGTTTTTTCTCTGTTCTGGGTCGCTGAAGGTTCATTAATAATGGCTTTTATTTTAATTGGCATTTTCGCCTTAACCAGGAAACAGGGACGCCGGAAGATTGATAATTAGGGGGGGGGGCATTTATTCATATATTCAAGTTCACAGACCGTAAAAACAATCGATTTCAAAAGAAACCAATACGGCTGAACTCGAATATATATAAATATGTGCCCCCCCCCCTAATTATCGATGTTGCGGCGTGCTTGCCAGGGAATAAACGAGTTAAGGTCGTGTGATCATATTTCGAATTAGGAACTCTGTCAAGGTGTCGTCTACTATAACAGGTCTATAAACTGCCTTATTTTTATATTATTGAAACGCGCCCCAAAAACTCAAAGCTAGGTTTTTGCGCACACGATAGTTGATTGAGTAATTGCCCATTGGCTAAAGCTGTGCTATGCGTCGGAATTATTTAGTTCTGTTCAGGAAAATTACTTATTACAGAATGAGGAATTTTGGGACAATAGACCCACTACACGATATTCAATTCGAAATGTAAATGATTTTTATGTTTAAGTTGTATTATTTGTTTATAGATAAGCTTTTAAGTTTGCATCAAATGTGGTACAACAACTGCAAAATTAACTTTTTCAAAATATTCCTGTGGTTTTCGTGCATTTAAAAAAATCCTGCGTTGCCTTAGAATCGTTAGAACTCAGCCTTACGGCAAAAATATTTATTCAAGATTTTGTGCTATTAGTTATATCAAAATACATTTTTTGCTTAGCTTATACTGCCACAAGTTAATGGTAAAACTATTTTTTTTATATATATACAATCGGTATACACAACTTCTAGCCGTAAGGCGTAAAATTTGATTAGCTTGTTCTTGAACTGGCTAGAACTAGGTAAAATTAACTTTGGGATTCAAACGTCGTTATCGCAATCGGGGAAACCTCAGCTTCATACTTATTCATCGTTTATGATCGGAAAATGCAATGAGATGTACAGAACTATATAGCACGTATACAATAGTATCCGGGTATGCTTGTAGCACGCGTGGACGCCTCACGCGCGATAGTAAACGAGTCAATATATACTTCACCTTCCAATCGGCAAATTCAATAAAATATTATCCCCTTTGGGATGATGTAATTATATTGTCTCTTGGGAGTATTATTTCATTTAAATCCCCGACAGAAGGTCCATCAATGATAATATTTAAATATAGGACGATATCACCATATAGAACTCGAATACAATTCTATTCTGATGCTTTACTATTCATCTTGCGGTAAACTGAATAAAGGTACATGTATAAATTGTCACATACCTTTGAAGCCGTTTGTTCTGACTGTATTCAGTCTTAAAAAGATTAGATCTAAAATGAAATCCTGCAAAAATACATCTAAATCACAAAACGAAACAAAAATTTAACCTAGGCTAAAAAGCGAAGCAGAATTAGTGAATCATGCTTTTAATACGCTGGTCTTTTATACTTTTAGCGCAAAACCCGACTTACCGAAGCAAAGTAACTTGATATAAAGTACCACTTAGCACGATAATAGGAAAAACGCATTGCCCAATCTTGGGAAAAAACGGACTAAAGTAAAATATTTACCTATTCGTAGATTTTCAGGCCACATATACTTTTACCTGGCAAGTGGTTGTGGCGGACTTTTGGGATAGGAATAAAGATCCTAATTTACCTTGAAATTAATCTTGCCGACCTATCCGCCTGCTATTTCTAAACTACTTTCAATTTTCCATGTCTAGAAACTAAACTAATACTCGACTGTCTTCCGATTTTATTAATGTTTTTGTAGAACAAATCTACGGAATACGCGTGCTGTAATTGGTTCACGTATAAACTAGGGTTATTTATTAACTTATTTATTAATCAGTTTTACGAATATGTAAATGCTTTAATGTTGTTAGTTCGAATAATTTAGAGTTCTTATACAAAGAAAATCACATCAAAAATAGACGCATTGGAGGAAATAGAAACACATTAGTTTTCTGCAACTTGAATAGAAAACATTGTAGAATATTTTCAAGAAATAGGTCAAATTTTGGCGTTTCTTATGTATTCGAATGCAGTTTTTCAGAAATATAGTAGGAGTTTTTTAGTAAAGCTTAAAAATTGTATACAAACATTTTCAGCCTAATTTACCACCCAAAAATTTTTGGTTTTTTCAAATGAAACGCTGAACGAATACTGCTTACCAACATTTTAATCCTCATTTATCATCCAATATTTCCATTTTCGAATGCAAATCTTCTTTGAATAAAAACTGAGTGTTTATTGTTTAAAAAACGTTTTCCACGATCGCACAATAGCACGAAATGGAGTTCGTATCCTCGCAAGGTAATTTTCCCAGCACGCATAGCACAGCTTTGAGCACGGACGGGCGTATAAAAAATTGTCAAAACACAGCTCCTAACGATTCTTAGATACCTTATTTACAGACCCGAGCATGCAGATTTTATAACTTCTTCACGGCGGCACTGTCAAAAGACTACATCAAACTTAATCTAGTTCAATTTGCGTCAAAGGATATCATGAAAAGGACCTCAAGTCTCTACAACCTCGTCAGTTTGTTCACGGCCATCGTCCACGGTTTCATTCGTATCAATCGAGGTAGTTGAGCTACCCAGCTTGGATGTCACGACAGGGTTGACATTCGAACTAATATCAATTTCGTGCGGGATTTCAGCTCCAGGTTCGGTCAGAGTTTCCGAGAGTTCAACGCCGTCCTTTTCTCCATCTTCACTCACCTGTGTTTCTGAAACTTCACTAAGTTCTGTTGGTTTATCCGCTAATGCGACTGCTCCGCGTTCTTCAGAGATACTGTCAACTGGTGCCGATGTTTCTTCCATATTTTGGACCTCTGCTGGAAATTCCATTTCTTCTTTTTGTGATGAAGTCTCACCTGTCTCAACGTTATCCACGTCTGTGTCCATATCCGATACATTCTTAGATATGCTTGTCTGGACTGATCCTATCTCACCTTCGTCCGACACCGCCTTCATCTCCATGGAGGCCATCTCTGACCCCACGTTTTCGTCTTCCAATCCTAAGCTGTCTCTTTCTAGCCCTATGGCAGACTCCATCTCGCCCAAACCCATCACACACTCATTCGATTCCACCTTATCAACCTTCGATCCCAACTGTGATTCCGTGTTGATCTCGCTTGATCCCATATCTACCCCATCAGATCCTTCTTTTCCCTCACCTAACTCCCCTGATTTTTCCTCGCCAACTGTTTTAGACGTTTCTCCAACCTCCGAAGCTTCATCAGTGGTTTTATGTTCGCTTACAATTCCTTCCACCTCTTGGTCACTTTTAACAATGCTTTTTTCACCCTCATTCATTTTTTCATGGCTAGCGGCAGTCGTGGAGGTAATATCAGATTTTTCTTCAAGCGAGGTTTCTGGAGCGGTAACTGTTGGTCTGGGCTCATTTTTGCTCGGATCAACCTCAGGCAAAATTTCTACGTTTCCATGAATTTCTTTAGCTTCATCGGTTGCGATCGCCTCACCTTCAAATGTCGTTTCACCCGATAATGAAATCTGACCGGCATCCTCGCCGAGGCCTTGGTCGGTCGATTCTGTCTTATCTACTACCGGTTCAACCATTTCTGCAGGGTTCTCGCCCGAGGACCCGCTCTGTCCATCACTGATACCTTCGTCAGCTGGTTCTGTTTTCACACACACAGCTTCCTCCTGGCTGGGTGTTCCCTCCAAATTTACAGCACTACCTTCAGGTTGAAGCGAGGATGCAGACATGTCTTCTCCTGATGTCTCGCCCGAAGCTCCCACCTGTCCAACATCAACACTTTGCTCGATTCGCTCAGTCTTAATTTCTGGCTCACTGCTACCCAAATTACTGTCCTCGGGAATATCGCCTTGAGCCTGGTCTGCCATCGCACCATTGGGTGCCCCAACTTGGTTCTTATTCATAGCTAGTCTTGCCTTGAGTTCGTTTATTTCGGCCCAGCCTTTAGCCACTTCCTCTTGGGAGGCTGGGGTTTGTTCTATGGTGGACTCCCCAACTGACGGCTCTACCGCCTGCGGGGGTTCTATTACCTGGCTTTCCATTAGCGAAGGAATGGCATCATGACTACCGTCACTCGGGCCATTCGCATCATTCCCATCAGCTTTCTGCTCCGCCTCAAACCCGCGTCGTTCGTCCATGGTGTTGCCTCTGTATCCTGTCTCATCTTCACCCCACCTACCTCTTGGCTCCTCGCGCATCCAGGGCTGCCCATGGGATGACTGTTCGTCCATGTGGGGCAGCCCCCGCCCTTGTGGTCCAAATCTAGGTGGGTTATCGCGACCGAAGTGAGCTGGTCCGCGATGGTCAAACGGAGGATCTCGATGCCGATCGTGACCGTGGTGCCTGTCATGGGGTGGCCCCTGGTGTCTGTCATGAGGTGGTCCCTGGTGCCTATCATGAGGTGGCCCCCAATCGTTATCAAAACGACCACGCTTGCGACGGTCGTACGGCTCGTCATGGCCCCAGTCGTCTTGGCTACGCCTATCACGTCTTCCCCTTCGATCATTCCCGCGGCCCCACCGCCTGTCCTCGTGCTCCCAATGTTCATTTTGGTGCCCCCATTGGTCGCCTTGGGAACCCCATCGTCCATCATCGTTACCCCAGTTATCATTGCGTTGGCCACCTTCGGGACCCCAAGACCGACCCTCGGGTCTCCATTGGTTATCTGGAGCGTCCTGGTGGGCGGCCCACTGACCACCGCCTTGTTCGTGGTAGGAAGGAGGTCCCTGATATTGCTGGTCACCATGGAATGGAGGTTGACCCTGTTGTCCTTGAAAGGGTTGTTGAAATTGAGGGGTATTCGCGTAGGGAGGTGCACCTTGCCCTTGGAATGGAGGGGGCCCTTGCCCTTGAAATGGGGGTGCACCTTGACTGTGGAACGGAGGCGCACCTTGCCCTTGGAAGGGGGGTGGGACTTGCCCTTGAAAGGGAGGCACGCCAGCTGGACCCACGTTTTGCCCACCAAACTGTTCAGGAACTTGGGGTTGCTGCCCGTCTTGGCTTTCAGATACGCCCTGACCTTCTTGGCTAACTTGATTACCCTGGAAACTGGACTCGACTGAACCCTGGACCGCCGGAGCACTCTCGCCAGGTGGCCCATTCCCCGACTCGGCTCCGGCTGCAAGATTACCTTCAGTGGCTTGACCACTGACTTCAGTTTGGTTAGCATCTTGAGGTGCACTAGCATCGGCTGGAACGCTCGTGGGAGGCGGACCAGTCATTGGAGGTGGCCCTCTAAAGAAGGGTGGCGGCATGCCTGGCACGGCCCCACCCTGTTGCATCCCTGGCGGCATCATCCCGGGCATCATAAAGGGATTAACCCCAGGTATGAATGGCATTCGGCTGTTCATGGGCATTCGTTGGAAGGGCATATTCCCCATACCCGGCTGAAACGGCATACCCGGTAACCTAGGAAGGTTCATCCCCGGGGGTGGAACGCCGGGCATAGGCATTCCCGGGATCCCGAGAGGGAAGCGGGGTATTCCTGGAGGCACGCCGGGTGGCATGCCAGCGAAAGGGGGAGGCCCTAGAGGTGTTCCTAATACCCCCGGTGCTTGTTCGGCCCCCGTCGTCGACGAAGCTGCAGCAGAAGCCTCTTCCTCTGAAAAACAAAAACGAACAAAGTTAGCTAAGTGATGGAGCTTCCATCGATTTGAACACAGAGCGGTTTCCTAGAGGGGGGAGGGGATGCAGGCCAGTTACCAGAGTCTCAGAACTTTCGAAATTACTAAAATACTATAATTCGGTACTGATTTTCATACAAAATACCCCCAAATTTGAATTAATATTAAAATTTGCACCCTCTCCAGTAAATAAGATCATTGTTCGAAGACGACTGGGGAGTTACCACCATTAATAAACATATCTACTAAAAAAGGCCATTCAATTCCCAGCGGTGGAAGAAGGTTTTCGACCGGAAATTTAGAAACACACGATTATTTTGTCATTTCAAGCCATGATGAGATGAAAGAGGTATTGTCAGGAAGTTAATAAATCCTCTTTCTTGCTACGTAAAAACTAAATCAGTGGACCCATATTACTATATTTATTATTATATTACATAGGCATTACGGCATGACTTGAAAAAAAATCAAAAATGTCAACCCGAATAGGCTCTGTTAAACATAAGCCTCTTAAAGCCAGTTTTTCACATACTCGCTAACTCATACTCGCCAAAAAATCTCCAAAACGTTAAAGCTCCGAGATGGTAAAATGGGCATGCCCCTTTACACAATGGGAGACGTCATAAACGGTAAAAATCAAACTTCAACGGCAAAATGTGAAATAGTGTAAACCATTGTGCATTTACGACATGAAAAATGTGAACTTAAAACGAATCTGGACATACATGCATAAAAACCCTGGGTTACTCGTTTTACTGTTTGAGCGACATAAGGACGTACTTTTATGTAAAAATTCGGGGATTGTTCTGGGATCGATCCAGCCGCCTTCAGAAAGCGACGAGACGGTATCCTTAGACTCCTGGAGTTTAGCAGCAGGTATGTAGGTCACTCCAAGCTCTTTGTCAAAGTGTTCTTTGTAATCTTTTGCACTTTTAGCTGGAGCCCAAGCGAGCTAGATAAGGGAAATAATCAAAGTTGCACAATATAAAGAGGAAACAAAGTCGATGTACATTTTTCCTGACGGTCAAAGTGCTGCATTACACAAAATGGTGCATTTTGATTGGTCGCTAAGCGCTCGGGTATGCTGCAAGTACAGGTTGCTTAGTTTTGGCGGGAAAAATCTAACTTCACATTTTTAACAAGTTTTAAACAGGGATGTCCAGTCGTAATTTGAGCAAGCGTTTTGAATGTCTTGAGCTGTAACATTTTTATCTAAAATCTCTTACACATTTTTGGTTTCCAATGGTTAAATGTGGATATGAATAAAAACTCCTAGATAAAAACAAACTCGTCCGGGCGACGAACTACTTCGCAACATCACTCTCATCATTCTATACTAATTTAAATCATTTCACATTTTGAAAGGTTATTTCTTAGTAACATTTCGGAATTGTGGTTCTAGCGCCCTCAATCACGAATCATGCAATGGTTTGAATTAGGAAATAACTGTAGCTGGATTTTTGGAATTATCCTGCATTTGAACTTCTTTAAACTAGAGCCTGTTTTCGACTTCAACCGTATCGTAACGCATCGCAACATAGCGTATTTCTTTGTTTCCGAAGTATTCGACCAGAACTAATGACTTTAAAACAATGAGATACGCGACGTTTCGCTACGATACGGTTGAAGTGGAAAAGGGCGTTAACGCCTCTGTTCTTTACATCGAATTCAAAAAGAATTTGAATTTTGGAAATAAATTGAAAGCATGAAGCCGAAGGTTATGCAGACTCACCTTGTAATTTTGCTTCAAAATATGCCTGCTTGAAAGAGAATAATATGCGGCCTCGCGTTCGGCCATTTGAATATAAGCACATCCTCTGGGCGGGATCATCTGAAATGAGATTTGACGACGGTTAAAATTCGCTAATGACACAACATCTGGGTGCAATGCAAGCTAATAGGCGCTGACAGGTAGTTTTGTTTTCTCATTAACTGACAGTACTCTTCCACTGATGAGTAAAATTATCTGGTATTGAACAGAGTAGAACATGCACTGTAACACAACCCACTGTTTTTACCATACTTACATCAATAATCTGTACTTTGCCAAATTCTTCAAACATTTCTTCCAGCGTTTCTTTCGTCGTATTTCTATGCATTCTGCCAAGCCAAATAGTTCGACTGCACACTGCATTAAAAGAACAAGAGTTACAAGGACCTATTCCCCCTTCAACAACCTTACACATGCTGCTGGAATAGCAAGCTCGGCTTAGGATTTCGTTCAGATATAAGAGACAATCAATCACATGTCCACTACGGGATTCAGACCGCCCGTCTCTTAATGATCATCATTACGCAAACAGCACGAGGCGAAGAATTGCAAAAAAATACTTTTTATCATCGTGGAAATTTTTAACGAAGTTTAAAACCTCTATTAGGTACATATTTTTTTAATATAATTACAAAGGCAATTATTGGAAATTCTGGCCTCTGATTAGCCAAGCTACCCTTGATTAATTCGTGACATAATTACTTAGGATTTTCAAAAAAAACTTACCACTGACGTGTCCCTCTTTAATTGGAGGAATCCATTTTTCATTTTTCACTTCCTTCTTTTCCTCTGAAGGCGTTTCTTTTATTTGCATCTCTTTATCTGATTCTCTTCCACGCTCTTCACGCGATCTCTCCCGTTCCTCGCGTGGCCTTTCGCGGTCATCGCGTGACCGGTCGCGATCCTCCCGTGGCCTTTCGCGTTCGTCGCGTTGCCTTTCACGCTCCTCGCGTGGCCTTTCGCGTTCCTCGCGTGCCCTATCACGGTCCCCACGCGCTTTATCACGACCCTCGCGATCCGAGCGCAATCTGTCCCGATCTTCGCGTGGTCTATCTCGGTCTCCACGATCCACGCGTGTTCGTTCACGATCCTCGCGTTCACCACGATTCCGTTGTCGATTTCGCTCAGAACCGTCCGTCTGCCTTTCGCGCCCTCGATCCCTGTCACGGTCTCTGTCACCATAACTATAACGCGAAATTAATTATTATTATTATTATTATTATTTAAACTTATTTAACCACGGTTGCCTTTCAGAGGTCTGTTTTTCAAAGGGCCGTGCACACTATAACTAATATAAAAATTTAAAAGCTATTTACTACAAAATACTTATATATATACACACTATAATTTACATATTGCCTCCCTGCTCAAACACACAAGGCATCGATCAGTTTTTTAAAAGAGCCGACAGACCCTTCAGGTATTTTTGTTATCGGAAATTTCTCCGTTAATTTTTGATTCCAGGAGACAGCTCCTCTATAAGAGAAGCTTCGTTTCATAAAATTTGTCTTGGGTTTCGATAAGTAAAGCTTTTGATGATTGTTTAGTAATTGGTGTTTTTGGTTAACAGAGACATGAAACATTCGCGTTAAATATTCTGGAGCCAAACCCTTAAGTGCTTTGAATGTCATAACTAATTCTCGCTTTTCTAGAATTGATTGTATTTTTGTCCATTTGAGCGTTTGAAAGATTCCAGAGGACCGTTCTTCTAAACTCGAACTGGTAATGACCCGTGCAGCACGTTTTTGTAGTTTAAACATTTTGTCAGCGTGCAGCTTATTGCCATCATACCATATAGTTGAGCAATAATTGAAATAAGGAAGTACAAATGACTTGAACATCGTCTGTAGTGTTGCTTGAGGTACGTAGGGCTTTACCTTCCGTAACATTGCTATGGAGCAAGAGATTTTTTTGATTGTTCCTCAACATGTTTTGTCCATTGTAGTTTATCATCTATTTCTAAACCTAGTACCCTTTTCTTGTAGACTCGTTTGATTGAATAATCCTTTATTTTAATAATAGGGTCATCTTTAATTTGTTTTAGTCGCTTTGCTGAATCAATTATCATGTACTCTGTTTTGGTATCATTTAATGTTAGTTTATTTGCATCCAACCAAGTCTTAACATTTTGGATTTCCAGCCCTAATTTATATTCAATTTCGAGACAGGTTTCCCCATTTGCAGTCAAGCTCGTGTCATCAGCAAACATGGCAGGTTCAGTTATTTCTAAGCTATTTGGCAAATCATTTATATAGATTGTAAATAGGAGTGGACCAAGGTTAGATCCTTGTGGGATACCGCATGGTAGATTTTGAAAGGTTGAAAACGAGTTGTTTATTTTGCATATCTGTGTCCTATTGTTAAGATATGATTGAAACCATGCCAATGTTAATCCACGTATCCCATAACATTCCAGTTTTGACAGTAGAATCTTATGGTTTACCGTGTCGAAAGCCTTTTTGAGGTCCAGGAATAGGACACCATTAAGAAGGCCAGCATCCATATTTGCTAGCCAGTTATTAGTTAGGTGCAGTAACAATGTTTCAGTTGAATGCTTTGCTCGAAAGCCAGACTGAAATTTAGATATTATTTGGTGTTGTTCCAGAAACCTCATCAATTGTTCATGTACAACTTTCTCGAATATTTTGGGAATTACAGAAATAACTGAAATCGGCCGATAATTTCCGCACAGATTTTTTCTTCAGATTTATGAATAGGTGTTACTTTAGCAATTTTCCAGTCATCTGGAAAGATTCCAGACAGTAAAGATTGATTAAATATATGCGACAGGGGTTGAATAATTGCACTCCAAGCGGCCTGCAGTAATTTCACAGAAATTTTGTCATAGCCTGATGATTTACCAATTTTCATTTGTTTAATTTCATCTCTGATTTTATCATGGGATATAGTTTGAAATTCAAAGTTTTGTAGTGTAGGTGTTACGAAGGAAAGTGGATCGACATTATTTGTTTCTATATTTTCAGCCAAACGCGTGCCTATATGCGAGAAGAAACTATTGAATTCATTAGAAATATTTTCATCTCCCATTATTTTCTCTTCGCCGACTAGTAATTCATTAATTACAGTAGTTTTTGACGCCTTGTTCAACAACTCGCTTATCAACTTCCAATTCTCTTTATGGTCCTTGCATGCATCCAGTTTAGTTTTATAATAATTGCTTTTTGTTTCTTTAAATGTTTTATTTAAATAGTTCCTACATTGTTTATACTCATTAAAATAGTAAGTTGAGTTATGCATGACCGCTTTCCTTTTGAGAAAATCCCTGCGGTGACTAAGATTCTTAATCTCCGCTGTTATCCAGGGATTATACGTGCTTCTGACTTGTCTTTGTCTTAGAGGTGCATGTTTATTAGCTAGAGAGGTAAATATAGTTTTCAAAACGTGCCAAGTCTCATTTGGGTCCTCATAATTGTAAAGGTCACTACCAGCAAGAGCTCGGTCTAAATCACTTTCAAATGCTTGACTGTTGAAATTTTTAAACTGCCTAGTTTCAATAATTTTTGGCTTTTCCCTTTGGTTGCCGATTTTACGGCAAGTGTACACTAGCCTATGGTCACCAATTCCAAGGTGTATGACTCCTGAAGTAGTAACATTCGTGTTTCCCACTTGCGTTATGATAACATCTATATCAGTGTTCTTGTATTGGCTGTTACGCGTGTAGGTTCCTTAATGAGCTGTTTTAACTGATAAACATCTAATAATTCAATTAGTTTCTTTGCATTAGAAGTATTCGCATGCAAATCACAATTGAAATCACCTAGAATAATCAATTCTTTGTTTTCTGCCTCAGCCTTTTGTAGAAATTCTTCGAACAGATCGAATGCCCCTGTATTGGAGTCGGGAGGTCTATACCAAGTCAAAATTAAAATTGGCTGACTCATACGTAGCTTTAACTCAATACAGAATTATACTAGAAGTAATCAAAGATTAGCAAGTGCGTTCGGTGATCGGATTTCTCATCGTTAAAACATTGCAAGATAGATTCCTAATGCTTTGATAAGAATCCTCACTGATATTTCAAACACTTAAAAATCAAAATAATCTATACAATTCCGAGATTCAACGAAGCGTGAGAGGACTTTAAGGTATTGAAATAAGTCTTTTGGCACCAAAAAAGCACATGCTATTGTTGTAGTGATTATACGACTGCCAGGCTCATGTTATCTGCTCATTTCAATACTGAAAATCATCTCACGCTTCGTTGAATTTTGGGTAACCGGGCTCATGTAAACAGCCCCTTAATGAAACAGGCGAATACGAAAGCCCAAATTGCCCGGTCCTAACTCCTAAACAACAACAAAATACGGAAAGAACATGAAATTAGGACGCGACACGATATCCTACAGGCGAAGCAAACGCAAAAACACGAAAGCGAGGCAAATGCCACACAAAAATCTCAAAATGATATTGCATCCAGCCGTGACGTCACGATTAGGAAGCGTTCTCCTTCGTCGAACGCAATAAGAAAATTTGGAAAACAGGCACAAATCGCATTCTGCTGTCTTATAGAGAAGAAACCATATTTTAGAGAAGTCCAGTAAACCTCGTACCTGGCATTTTCTCGGTCACTGTCGCGGTGTTTTCGTTCCCGAGGCGATCTCGAGCGACTTCGGGCCGGCTTGCCTGGCGCCGTGAACGATGGCTGAAAGGCTGCAATAGCCGAATCACTCTTTGGGTGAAGTGTTTCTATAAAAAAAATAAACGGCTTAATAAAAATTGCTGAAAAAACTTTAATAAACGGCTTGAAATGACTGCCGAATGAAGACTTCCTTAAGTCCTTCCTGCAAATAATTAATACAGATAGCACGCTTAAGTCTGGTCTCCATTTAATCGTAATTGTCGTGAACGAATCATTTTCACCGATGAGAAATAGTCCGGTTGTAAATTTGCCTTTATTTCTGTATTTAAATCGGTCATTAGAAAAAGAAGTAGAAACAGAAGTATTCTATCACATCAGCCACCTTGACTACGACTAAATAGAAACCAAAGTTTCATTTTAGCTAAGTACCCATCAAATGCATAAGTTTATGATTGGCACGACAAGATTTTTTCTTGAAGATGGCCGACAGGTCATCGTTCCAGTTCTTTTATACCACTGCCAACAACATACCTGGCACTGGCCGAGTTTCAGGGACGGCCTGGGGTGGAACGTTGCTGGTAATTTGTTGCTGTTGTCGAAACTGTTCTTCCATCCGCTGGCGAGCATTGATTGTATCATCTTGTCTGAAAGAACTGTAGAAAAATTATTTATTTATAAACTTTCTGCTGTAATTTCGCCTAACCCACTGACCTATATTTACCAAATGGATTTGCCTAACGGACTGACCTAAGGGTCACTGAAGCGGCCAGCCTAATCAAATTCAGTCAATATTGAAAAGGTCAGTGTGAAGCGTTCAGATAAGGAGACAATCGTCATTTTGCTACGAAGAGCGTCAGTCCGCCCGTCTCTTAAATCATCACAACACTTGTACCGAGAGTAGTCTAGGTACCAGGCATTTCAGGAGCACGGCCCAGCCACTCGTTTCATGACTCGACCATAAACTTTGTGAAGCGTAATTAAAGCACTAGTACCAGTCTATTTCTATTGTTTTGTCGGCACGGTTGATGAATTTGCAGACAGAAAAAACAAAAAAGGATTGGTACAAGTTTCCCGCTTTAAAGATGGCGGCTAAATTACCCTTAGTTATAGTTCCAGAATCTCTTAAAGTGGCTCCATGCAGATAGGCGAACCTGAACTAATCTTACCCAGGCTTTCCAACAGTAATCTACGCTATTATGGAACTCAAAGCTTTCTTAGGGTAGCTCTCGTAGAAGCCAATGCGACCAGTAGTAATTTACACTCCATTTGTGAGCCCATAATAATCTTAAGGTAGCCCAACGCCGTTCTAAAGCTAGAGCTTTCTTAGCGCTGAAATCGAACTGTATATCGAAACAAACCTTGAGGTCTTCAGTCTGCTGGCTTCCTCTTCTAACTGCCGTTTCTTTTCTTCAATACGCTGTTGATCATCTTGATCATCGCCATAGTCAAAGTCATCCACAAACTCTTGATGCTGCCAAAATACCAAACACATGTAGTTCAGACACAAACCATGTCAGAATACTACCTACACTGGACCACCACCACCTTTGAGACATCTTTTTCAGGTAGTTCAGACACAAACCACGACAGCGTATTGTAGAATACTACCTACACTGGACCACCACGTCTGAAATATCTTTTTTCAGGTAGTTCAGACAAACCAGTGAAACCACGACAGTACAAATTCATTGAAAATGCCGCTATAATCGACTACACTATGCTAGAAACCGAGAGGTATATGTGCCCATATTACATCACAGATTTCGGTCAGTGACGCACCACCAGTGAACTCAAATAAGACTGGAACGCCCACTCTGTCGAAAGTTTAAAGCGAAGATGGCGGACACTGAAGCCTTTCTTGTAGCTATGATCCAGGCCTCCACGCGGAAGTTTCGTAGGTAAAATGGCGGCAGTTTTTATTTTCCCTTTGAAATTTCCGCGCCAGAGGCCTGGATCATACCTACAAGAAAGGCTTCATGATCCGCCATCTTGGCTTCCCTCATTAATGAGGGAAAGTCAGAGATTTAGCGCACCACACGCAATGTAGAAAACGATCGCAGTATATGAAACTGGACACACATACGTCTGAGCTATCCAGGACACTCCCTACCTGCTGTTGAGCGATATAATTGTTGTTCCCTTGCTCATCAAAGTCAGGTCGAAATGACTGCTGGTAACTCGCATTCGTGATTTGTTGTTTAGCCCCAGCATACCGTCCAGGAGGGTATAACTCTTCTTGGGAATCATACTGTTGTTCAGCATATTCATCAGGGCGTTTGTTCCCCTCGTATGCTCTACGATTGGTGGTCTGTTCATAATTTTCTTCCCCCCCTGAATACTGTCCACTTCTATAACTTTCAGGGGGGTTCGACCCCGGCTGGTTGACCATGCCGGTCAATGCTTGGATCTGTGCAAACACTTCAGTGGGGAGTTTAAATTTTGCCGCACCCCCCTGATCATGCCCTTGCAATTGAGGGGCGTGGGGTGGCTGCCCTTCCTGTATTTGTTGAGACTTTTTTTGCTGCCGTTGCAAGCGAGCTTCGAGTTCCCGAATGTGGCGCATCTGTTCATCCTGTTGTTGCTGGAGCAGAGCAATGTACGCTTGCTCCTGCGGGGTTTCCATAGCAACAGACTCCTCCGATGCGTGGTGCTGTGTCATGTGATCCACAACAGGTTGAGTTGTGTCAGCAGGAACAGCCTTTACATCTTCGTTCAATTTGCCTAAAAGCCATACAATTCAATTTAGATTTATTTCCTCCTGTAGTAACACTGGATCAATAAGAGATGATCCTTACTGGACCTCTAGGAAGAACAGTTTAAAACTGATAGAGCCATCTAGTATAAATAAAGGTAGTTTAGTAACTTTAGTTTAGGTTTCCTCCTGTAGTACCGGTAACACTAGATTAATAAGAGATGATCCTTACTGGACCTCTAGTAAGAACAGCTTAGAACTGATAGAAAAAATAAGAATAACTGAACTGATAATATGCTTCACCTTGATTTTCTGTCATGGGTCCAGTGAGCGCCATGTTAAGCAAAGGTTGTATGACTTCTGGTGTGTATACTTTGTTCTTCTGCCATAAATTCAGAACCTTTATAAGCTTGCTCTAAAAATATGCAAAAATTATTCTCAAAGGTTGCAGCTGAGCATGTTTTGGTTGACCAGTAGCACTTTTGATAATAATTGCATTCATAAACACCCATTCACACTGTAGGCCTGAAGTGTGTCCAGATTGATATATTGCTGTCAGTGACACACACTCGGAAGCTTGATACAGTTATGTATGATATAACAACACTGCTACAAACTTAGTATGGTTCGTTTTGTTCAGATAATTTTTAAAAATCTTCAAAGGAGGACATATGATTAGTATGACCTGGGACATTCACACACTTCTCTAAGGCATGTGGGTGAGACTCTTAGGCTCTGAGACATTAATTATTCTATGCTCACAAATTTCAGAAAATGTAACAAAGTGAAGTAACCATGATTTAACAGCTTAAAGTCTTTAACAATTTTGTGAAACTTCACTTGATATAGAATAGGACGCTAAAGGGTTAGAGACCTTAATTTCAAGTGGAAACCATACACAACTCAAATTCAAACCAGGAAGAGTTGAGAAAAATGTGTCAACCTATGCTTTTGCAATGCCAGTGCAATGCTCTAAACACTGAGCTACATATGGTGGCAGCTGAAAAGAGCGAGGGTAGGAAAACATTGCGTGTATTTACAATTGCAATGCTTGTCGGAGGACCAAAACACATTTCTCAACTGGCCTGGCTTGAATTTGAGTTGTGTATGATTCCCACTCAAAATTAAGACTCTTAAAACCTTTAAAATTTTTTAAAAATAGTATAAGAATAACACATTGAAGTTTATAGGTTCACAGCAACCTGGTTTAACTTGTTAAAGTACTCATCATTCAAGGATTACACTCACAACCCAGGGGTCTTAAGATGATGATTATCATTTTTTATCATTATCAATCATGATGAACATCTGTTCTGCTCAAAAAAATGTGAGGTCTTAAGATATAAATTCTGCTCAAATTTTACATGCATCAAATTTTTCTCATAAAAAAATAATATGTATAGTTAATATTCGTTTAAAGGCATAGCAAACCTAAATATTGTTATACTTAGATATTCTGACAACACAAGTATTTCAAAAAGTATAGAAGTTCAAAATCTAAGCAAACTGTTTAAAAAAACATACGGACTTGGCTTTCACTTTAAAACTAGAGAAGCAGTAATAGCAATAGTGCCAATAGAATATAAAAATAATTATATACCTGTTCCTCTGGTAAACATTTGAAGAAGTTTTGAAAAGAGTTTGTGATATTTCGTCCAAATCTGGGTCCAAAAACATCTTTGTCCGCTCCAAACTAAACCAAAATATATTATGCTCTTTGTAAAATTGTCAGAAAAAAGTTAGAAGTTCTGATTTATATATACCCAGGGAGCAGCGTGGCTGCAGTTGTTATGTTCAATAGGACTTTATATTCATTTTTGTTATTCACATTTATGCCTGGTTTCCACTTAGATGTGAGTGTCTGAACATGTCAAGGTGGCAGATGTGATAGAATATTTCTAGGTGTTTGCAGTCAACAATGACTGATTGGAATACAGAAATAAAGGGAAATTTACATTTGGACTATTTCTCATCAATGAAAATGACTGGTTCACAACAACCACCACAAAATGGAAACCAGGCTATATTTCTACTATACAGCACTACTCATTGTATAATGCAAACGAAAGAGAGTTATAATAATGACCTATACATATAGCATTGTAATAACATTCTAATGTTCTTCTCAACTAAACTTGTAGAATATATTTAATGCATTATATACCTGGTGTCTGGACTGCCTAATTATTGAGTCAATCACATACAACGCTGGGACTTTGTACTCCGGACGACACTAAAACAAAATGTTAGTTAACATTAAAAAAGCAACTATTTTCTAGTTAGTATATACAGTTGAGATAAGATAAACAAGTATTTGCTTTCATATTTCCTAATCTTGGAAGTTCTCAGCTTGAATATGGATTGTATTTTATTTCAACCCATAAACTGACCTATAGTACTCTTTCGCTGATGAGTAAAATCATTTGGCATTAGATAGTGTAAAATACTAAAGTAGGCCACATCCAGGAATGCCGGAAGTTATACAGGGCAATGGGTATTAGCAAAAGAGCAAATTTTTTAGCAACTACATAGATGAATAATAAAATGCACTAGAACACACTTAGTTATTGGAAAAAAGCCCAGGTTAGCCGATAAAGAAATGAAGAATTCACTAAGCAAAAAACTTTAATCATTGATTTCAAACAGAGAACTGCAACTATATATTGAGGCACATTATATTGTTTTGCCATGCATGAAGTATTTCGTCTTCACCTAGCGTTTTTATGTTAAAATGAGGTCATTAAAAAGTTTTTGTGCACCCGTTAGGTTGTAAAAACGAAAGGCAACAGGCGCAACTGAACTAGCTGCACCCATGGTTTCGGCATCACTGGTCAAATCTGGCTGCATTGCAAGCTAATGGGTTAACAAGAGGCACTGACAGATAGTTTTGTTAACTCATTACTGATTGTATTAGATAAAGTAAAATACCAAACCCTGTAAATGATTTGAAAACTTCCTTCCTTCCTTCCAAGGTTATTTCCCAAATAAAGTCCCAACTAAAATTCAGAATTTGTACAGTACCTTTTGGACAAATTTTTCCAAGCTCTGAACAACATGCTTGTAATACTATAAGAAAATAAAAAATGCGTTTGTGGTTACAATATTTGTTAATTGACTGAAAAACAAAAATATCCAGGCAGACAAACAACTAACATTTAACTAGGGATGGTTTACTGGGGGTGAACCAGCTAGCCTAGTCCAGAAGGGGTGCATATTTAGGCATTAATTCAAATTTAGGGAAATCATATATAGTACAACTGATACTAAATTTTAGCGGTTTAAAGGGTCTTAATTTCGAGTGGAATTATACACACTTCAAACTCAAGCCAGGAACAGTTGATAGAAAATTAGTCAACTGTAGGTCCTCCGGCAGGAATTGAACCTACGCTTTTGCGATGCAGGTGCAATGCTCTGCCACTGGTATCGCAAAAGTGTAGGTTCGAATCCTGCTGGAGGACCTATAGTTGACTCGTTTTTCATCAACTGTTCCTGGCTTGTGTGTATATTCCACTCGAAATTAATACCCTTCAAACCTCTAGAATTTACCTGCATCAAGTGAAGTGCCAAAAATCATACCTGATGCTAAATTTAATTTAATCCTAAACACTAACCCAATTTGTAACCAAAATTTCAAAAATAAAATCTGTTTTGGCATTTCCCTATGCATGGCAAGACATTTCCTCAGGCGCTTGTCCTGCAATTTTCACCTAATAAACAGCTTCTAATTGGTTGAGGGATATCAAAAGGATCTTTATGAGATGTTAGTGGTGCCCAAGCCAAGGATTCCAGTTCAAAAATAACAAACTTGACATATACGATTGTCAGAATGACTATAGCCATGATTTAATACAAAATTCCAACCCGAAACACTGCCACGGGGAGTGTCTCCCTACCAAGCATGTTTCTGGGAGACGGGGGTACGAGGTAGGCCCAAGAATAAATATTTAGCAACAAGCATAAACTAGTCGGTACACGTAAAAAAACGTCAACCTAAACTGAAAGCAAAAATGCTCTAAATCTAGCTACACTTTCAACTAGTACAAACTATACCTTTGCTGCTTTTAAAGCCAAGCGAGTTATCGACGTGACTTTTGCCTTTGAAATTGGCGGTTTCGTCGCATAGAGGGTCGATAACTATACGAAATGAGATTATACGCAGTCAGTGCTCTGAAAACATTCCATACAAAAACACCACAAAATGCACAGTTTTTGACGGAAATACAGCAGGAATCTCGCCGCCCTACCTCGCTGTTGAACTGCCGTACTATTTCCATATCAGCCATGCTGAATCGCGGAAGAAAAAGGCTCAAAAAATGAAGTTTTAACGATTTTCTTCCCACATCATTCCATGTGCTTTTCAACTTTCGCCGCTAAGTTCAAACAAAATGGCGTCCCACGCGGAATTCGTGGACACGAAGGGCGCGCGCGAAACACACGCGCGATTACAAAAAAAATCGCCCGATTTTGTACAATGTGTCCGAATTTAACTTTTTACCAAATTTGTAACAATAAACTTTCAAGAGAGTGTAACAAAAATGGCCAAATAGAGTACACATATGTGATATATATTAAAAAATTTTAAAAATTTTAGCTCTGTAACTCTTTTTCAGTTTGCCCGAATTTCTTGATTCTCGAAATTTTTTGCGGGGGGGGGGCGTCAAGTGCCCCCCCTGCCCCCTGTCCCGTACGCCTATGACCTCTCGCAGTTAGCTCAGCCCGAAAACCATCCGCAAACGCGAGAAACTTACTGAGCTAACAGCCTCGTGAGGTTTTTAGCTCTCGAGTGTGGCGGGCTTTACACTGTCAAAGTTCCTGTTAATTTGCACTGGTAAGTTTTAATGTTTTGCAGCGAGTATTACGATGAAGTAACTCAGAGTTTTAGTTCCCTTAAATCTTTTTTTCCCTTAAAAATCAAATACATATACAAATTATAATTGTTATAATTAACCCTAATCTGGAATCGAATGCTAATTTTAACCTAATCTCTTGAGACTCTTGAGTGGAGTTAAATATTCTTTAATCTACATGGATTCATGGAATAATTTAAAATACAAATTATCATTATTGAATTTCTTAAATGAAGTTTTTCCATGTAACTAAACAACAGTCGCAGGCTCAACAACATATGGCAACCATTTTCCTGTAAACAAATATCAATCAATCTCAAACAAAATTTCGAAATTTTCATTTTAAAAATTCACGCAATCTTCCAATATGAACCAGACACAATACAAGGTATGTGATTCAGCCATATTCCCCAAATTCTTTTGCTAAATTTTACTTTGATAATAGGTTTTTGACACGTAAAATGGGTTTTAAATATATGTAACAGTCTGTTACCTTTTTTCGCGGGCAAAATGGTAACATTCAAATGCTAGGATTTCGTTGGCAAAACCCTTTATTAATCCTTTTTAAACGGCGTCTCTTGTTAACCCATTAGCTTGTAATGCACCCAGATGTGGCCTGCTTTAGTATTTTACTCTGTCTAATGCCTGATGATTTTACTCATCAGTAGAAGACAAAACTATCTGTCAGTGTCTCTGTTAACCTATTAGGGCTATGAGCTTGCAATGCACCCGGATGACCCTTTGTAAATTTCCTTTATGACTTGCATTTTAAGGTGGCAGACTCAAAACGAGAAGAGTTTCGAAAATATCTCGAAAAGGCTGGAGTCCTAGATGCCATCACAAAAAGTTTGTCACCTTTTTCAAATTGATAAATTTATTCCATTAGCTTAGAATAACCTGCTTTAGCAACATTTCCTTCAACTTTTTCAACTTTTATTTTGTCTGTTTAGTTTTGGTATCTTTATATGAAGAGCCAGAGAAACCAACTAATGCTCTAGAGTATCCTTTACATTTCCTATCAACCCATTATATTATTAAGATGTACCTATTTGAATTGAAGTTGCTTAGTGTTTTACTCTGTGTGTAATTCCAGTGGATTTTACTCATCAGTGGAGGAGTATTGTCAGTTTAATGAGCTCACAAAACTATCTGTCAGTGTCTCTTGTTAACCATTAGCTTGCAATGCACCCAGATGTGGCCTCCTTTAGAATTTCACTCTGTTTAATGTTTTTACTCGTCAGTTGAAGAGTGCTGTCAGTTTAATGAATCAATTAAAGTTTAAATCTTATCTCCTTGACACAATATTTTCAGATATTTAAGCAAGTTTTTACAGAGTGGGCCTCCTCAGACTGCAGATATTGAGGAGCTGAAGTTGAATCTGGAACAAATGCAGCAAATAAATGCACAATTGACGAAAGAAAATGAAGAATTGCGACAAAAAGTAAGACTGGGAAATAACAAAAAATTAAATATTATTGTTCAGCTTGGGTTGTATTCTACGTAAAGCGGTTGTTCTTTGTGTCTGAACTACCTGAGCAAGAAATCTCAAACTTTTGAGGTCCAATGCACTGCAGGTAGTATTATACAATAAGCTGTTGAACTTTGTGTCTGAACTACCTGAAAAAAGATCTCAAACACAATGGACCCATGTAGATAGTATTCTACAATAGGCTATCACCATTTGTCTCTGAAAAAATTGAAATTCCTTTTTACCTCATATAAAGCTTCAACAATACGAGCCAGCTGGTGATGACCAAGCAGTGAGTTGATAAAATACCATATAAAATCAAATTATTCTTTAAATACTGGCTGGTTCTATCATTTTTAAACTGTTCTATCTATGGAACTAACCACATACCTTTTTGTTTTAGCCACAAGAAAGTTAATACAAAGTTGATATAACATAAAGACTTAATGTGTATATTTATTATCATTTTAAAATGCTCTTGCTAGATTGTATGAAGAAGTAATTTTTTGTAATAATCATGTTTGGTAAATATGTTTAAAAACACTTTGTTATTGTAGATGTACAGTTATGAATTTGTGTCTCACTTTTTTCCACTTTGTTATTTGTGAAAGAATGGTTCAAACATGCAATTAAAACTCACCTTCTGATGATGCATACATTGTCTTGCAGATAAATTTCAAGTGCCAATGATTTCAGATAGAAATCTTTTTTGACTAACTTGAGATATGTCAATACCTGGCCTAGCACAAACACCCAAAGTCTACCTATTGTTTCACTGTTGTGATAGTATTGTGTGATATAACACTTCAGAAACAATGTAGCATTGAGCTAACATGTGGAGATCAGAGGCCACAGATTGAGCAATGGGGGTTGTTTGGGGTTTTCATTCTTCCTTTACACTTTCTCATACCATGCATATGGTCACTAATAAATGCTGATCTCTATATAGAGCTAGATGCAGCCTCTTTAAAAAAAACAGACTGAAAATTACCAGATATGATGTGAAATCAGGAATTGTAAATATAGGCTGTTATTCATGCTAATATTGATTGTACTGGTACCTGTAAGTATTAGGTTCATTTAATTAATAAACGGGTCCGGCTGATGATTAGGAAACGCAAAAGCATCCATGATATTTTACATTTTATTGACTAAGTTTATTTACCTTAAACTAACATTTTCTCTATGCATATATGGAACACAGTATCGTTCGCATCTTCCTAACTAGCAAGCACTGTGCACTACAATTTCAACAATAGCAAAGAAGTTAGCATTTGGTTTTTTACTTTGCAATTCCAATCACACCACAGCCCAGACGGCCTCCAGCATGACCTGTTGTTAGACTGTCTTCATGTCCTCCTTTGCCAAGATCGTCAACACCCTCATGCACCTATTGCAAGGTATGAGAACTAAACTATCTAGGAATGTCTCTTGTTAAATCAGCTTGCAATACACCCAGATGTGGCCTACTATAGTATTCTACTCTGTCCATAATGTCTTATGATCTTACTCATCAGTGGAAGAGTATTGTCAGTCAATAAGTTAAAAAAGCTATCTGTCAGTGTCTCTTGTTAACCCATTGAGTTTAAATGCACCGACTTTTGTATCACTGTGCTCACTTTTGTATTTTACTCTCAGTTCATCTTCATCATCTTGAAGGACTTATAAACTAAAATATTTTCTGAAAGTGTACGTACCACAATTGAGCGTCCAATAACGGAATATTCTCCACTAAGCTTTACAAGACTATCCTTCATGTCAATTTTTGCAAGGCCACTGGCATCTGCTACAATATTTCCAAGGTCACCAACGTGCCTGTTTAATTTTGTCAATAGAATAGAAATGACATTTCTGATGTACACTGACTCTCATACCCAAGACCTTCATAGATTTTGCAGGGGATTGGGAATAAGAGGACGGGGCTTGTATCACTGGCTTGTATGCACAGGGAATGCATGCGGATGTACCACAACTCCAATGCATGTTCACTAGTTGTATCCACTAATAATTTCTATGGGACAAAATGTACCATTGCACATGAATAACAACTGAAATTCATTATAAAAGACATGGCAGAACTAAGCTAGTTTGACTTTTAATGCCTGTAAGCACTCTCAATAGTAGTTTATTTGAATCACCTCTCTGTGTCGTCCGGACCACCGTGGTTCTTCTTAAAAGGGTTGAAATGACTACCAGCACTTGTACATCCTGGAGATTATGGACATAAGTTAATCAGATACATTTATCTATGCCAAGTTCTTATAAAAAGGAAGACTGAAATAAAAACACTAAGTCATAGCATATCTTAAAGAAGCAATCATGTTTTGCAGGGGGAACGCTATTTTAAAAAGGGGAACAGCGTTCCCCCAAACGATAATTATATAAGTATAGAACTCGGTAAAACAGTTTAAAACACGGTTGTAATAGTTATATTTTTGTTGGAACTCATGTAAGCAAATTGTTGTAAACTGTAACTGTATAAAATATTTTGCTATCTAATAGTTATAATCACAGGAGACAACTCAGACAAGTATTTATGCCACATAGAGTCGGTAGAGACAAGAGGTGTTCAGTATATATTAACCACGCCCATATATAGGCCACGCCCATATATAGGCCACGCCCATTGGATGTATGTAATGCATTATGCATAATGTAAGCATTCCCCCAATTCCAAAATTCACAAAATGACAGAAATGTTAAATAACTTCTTAACATGCATATCAAAAGTAATTAATATATATATCCTATGGAAATATATCCAACCATTTGTGTAGTCGCCAAATTCGTGAATATGAAAACCATGTTTCCCTTCTGAAAGGCCCTCAACAGAACCTGTCACGACACAATCACCATCAGGCTTCTAGGAAATAAATTAGTTCACTATTAACTACCATATGAAACACAAAACTATGTACTGGAAATAAATTAGTTCACTATTAACTACCATATGAAACACAAAACTAGCTAGGGTATTCATGCTGACTGCATGGGTTGTTGAAAATGTATATTGTTCATACTGAAATTCAAAGTGTCCTGAAACAATCAAATTTCCAGTAACTTTTCCGCAAGCCAATTTTCAAAAAACTTCAAAACAATAAGCATCAACTGTGCATATAAAGTAGTTGGAAAACCTAGCGTAAACTTGCAAATGAACTGCTTATCAAAGGTACGGGTGAAAATTGAATACTCAACAAGGGTAATAACAAAATAAACTGCAATGATGATTTTCAACACAATACAGGCACATTTTATATGTACAATACAAATTTACGTACAATCAGAATTTTGTACATCATTTTTCAATTTTGTACAAAATTTTCCCGGCATTTTGTAACCAAAACTTGCAGGGGTGAAGTAATAGAAACCTTCGTGAAAAACCTGCACAAAAATTGCTAAATTTAGCTGCAAATTTGACGGCAAATCGCCTTAGAGAGCGCTACCATAAATAGTGTTTTAAAATCATGCTGCAAAGTTCGTACCATTTCGTAACAACGTACTACAAAACTGTTCGCATTTGAGCGCAAATTTGAACCAAATCTCCCAAAAATTCCCCCCGTGTTTGCTGGTAAAGCGATTCAAGACGATCACTTAGGACAGAAAGAATAAGAGCGAAGCACAATTAAGTGTGTAAACAATTGAAATTTCGGAGTAAATTCGGGGCGAATTTCAGCTGGATCTTCGTTAAAATCTAGCGATATTTGCCTACCTCTTGCACAAAATTTATCGTTCCTTTGACCTTATCACCTCTAAGAACGCATACAGCTTTGACTGGCATTGTTGGATCGATTTGAAGCGACGTTTCTGCAAACTCTTGGCTTTCTAATCCAAAATGTAGTAATGTACGTCTGGGCAAGAAGCATGACACAATTTATACTTCATGCACGTGGGTGTTGTCACGAGGGCGTGCCACATGGCTGCGGTTAGCATAAATATTCCCCCCCCGAAACCTTAAAAATTTTGTATTGAAACCGGGCGGTGCATAAAAGATTTTTACTATACCTATCTATAATCTTTTGTGGTAATGGTGATAATTTCGTGTCCAAGGTCCAAGGTTAGGGCCACGTTTAGGATTAAAGTTTGATAAGTTGAGATTGTATTGGTGGATTGAGATTATATATGTGGATTCTGAACATGTTTTAAAAACTCTATTACTCAAGTTCAACTACTAACCCTAAAGGATTAGATTAAGGATTAAATTCGTGAATTTTGGGACATCACAAGATAACACCATTGATAACACTATAACCTCTGAACTCAGTAAGTAAGAACTCTGAACTCAGAAACGAAAATGATTGGGGGAATGTTTCAGCTGAAATACTCCACCTTAAACGCTGGACTGCATATGAAACTGAAATTTACCCGAGAAAATGATACGTAAACGTGCGCCCACATACAACAAACGCTTCAGCAGCGGTCAGCCTTGGAGCAATAGTGACCGTCGTTCATGGCTAGGGCTGGGATTTGTAAAATAGTTATAGAATGTAAATATTTACAACTATAAACATGTGCAGATAATTTAGATCTTTGGCGATCGCCGGATTAATTTTGAAAAAATAGCTTTACAAAATGTCAAGCACAGTTACTATTAAACAGAAGAGCGAATATTACTACCTTAAATGCGTGTTGTAAGTTTAAACAGTTAATTATATGTTTTGTCACTTTTGTGGTAGCTCTATCAGTTCTAAAGTGTTCTTCCTAGAGGTCCAGTAAGGATCATCTCTTATTGATCTAGTGTTAATACTACAGAAGGAAACCTAAACTAAACTAACTATATTTATACTGGATAGCTCTATCAGTTCTAAACTGTTCTCCCCAGAGGTCCAGTAAGGATCATCTCTTATTGATCTAGTGTTACTACAGAAGGAAGCCTAAACTAAACTAACTATATTTATACTGGATAGCCCTATCAGTTCTTAACTGTTCTTCTTAGAGGTCCAGTAAGGATCAGCTGTTATTAATCCAGTGTTACTGCTTGAGGAAACCTAACTTTATGTATACTGGATAGCTCGATCTGAAAGCACTGATATATCATTTTTTCATCAATGAAATCAAAATGAAAGCACTTAAATCTCATTAGGGAAAGAGAGGAGAGCGATAAAATGACATGCATTATACTGGAGCCTGTCAAATTGCGAAGCTTGATTGGCACTGCTCTCAAACAATTACATGGTTTGGTATGAAATACATATTGTCACTGTTGTATAAACATATAGTTGTATATGTGCTATATAGTTTAATATCTTGCTGTTGTTGAGTAGGATTAATTTATAATTTCATGTCTACTTATATTGCATGTCCTATTATACTGTATTAAATGATCTGCCATGATTTGATGTACCAGAATACTGTATGTTATGCCTTAAATGCCTAAATCTGTAATGTAGGTTGGAGCTTCAATTACTGTGGATGTTTTAAAATGTGAGCAGTCGAATGGTGAAATAATATTGAGAGTCAAAGCGAAGTAAATATTTTGGTCTATTGCAACTTATATTTTTGTCTTTAATTATCTCAACTTTATTGTTAAAACAATGCAACATAGCAACACTTGAGTATGTTAACAGGTCACTCTAAGTTTATCCCCACACATATCACATTGTCCATTACTTTTGCAAGTCAATGACACGTAAATTAAATTTGTCACAAATCCCTGCAAGCAAAATATATTCTTCACATGAAATCTGTCACGGAATATTATTTCCCCATGTGAATGAGTTCAAGTTAATAGTGTGCAATTATGTCTCGAACAATAATACCCTTTAATGTCAATACACTTAGTTTATATACATCCTGACGTCATTAGTTAATATTAGTAATAAGTAATATTAGTGAGTTACTATTTGTTATATCACACTACAAATAGTTCAAGTCATAGAGTTTTCTCAAGTTTTAAATCATCTCTCGCCTATAATGATCCCTTAATTTATTAAAGGATTATCTTTTTCATTTTACCCTAGCAATTTGGTCAAAGTTTGGAGTTCATTGACGCTTTTCAGTAATTATAACGGCAGTGAATGTCGTTTTCGTGTCAAACAGGTAAATATACAGTGATACTATTACGAAAACAACTAACTCTTTGGACAAAGGCAGCCTGGTCAATGCGAGTACCGCATACTATTTTTTGAATATAATTATCCTAAGGCTGGAAACTCTCTGACAAAAAATATGATGCATACATTAATACCAACGCTTGAAACACAAAATTAACGTTAGTTTTTTGAAAAAAAACTGCATACAAAACACCTTGGATATATTTACTAAATTTATCTGTCCTTTCTAGACTTGAAAACAACTTAAAAATGCTTAAATTTTGCAAATAAAAAGTGTATTTTTTTTCGAAATTTTGTTAAACAGAGGCGGGATGCAATTTACCATTTACTCGCCAAACGTCATCATCGAAAAAATCACGAAGACCGACTCAATGAAGAAAAAATGTCTTCGTAATTTCAGCTCAACAATTCTTCCTATCATGTTCAACCTCATTTAATAATAATCGTTTTATTTGTTTCTAATAATAATCGTTTTATTTGCTTTTGTATGAACATGCATCTTAAATTGTACGTGTCACGTGTTGTGTTCTAACTGCCCCTACTCAAAAGTAAGGTAATCTGAAAAGTTCCGAACTTTCACGTGAAAGTGTTCTGTTCCACTCCATTGATTACTGCTCCTGAAATCTGGAGTACTCCGCAGAGTAAATGGAGCAGTCTGCGGGTTTTTATGCTACGTTATGACGTATAAAGTGCATGAAACGTTGTATGACGTCAGTCATTGTACATGAGGATCTGCGAATTACTTTAACAAATAATAATTATTATTCAATTAAGGTGTCACCTTATTTAATGTCATTGGCAACAGACAGTCGAACATGGTCACCATTTGAAGCTGACAATATCAACCAACCACGATATTTTAAAACTTTTTGAGACAGCAATTTTATTTATGGTTTAATTACTAAAAGCATACCAGCCGGAACGTCGCAAGTGGATTAAGGAGGCACAAATTTTCACGGGCACTTTTCTGGAAAAGAGGGCATTGAATTTATTTCAAATGATCTTTGAGAATATAACAGAATTATACAACAATCATATTTTCAAAACGGTAAATGCATACAAGGTCACATTGAAAAATTTTTTGGCCACCTTTTTCAGTGAGAAGGGCACTTTGTAAAGGCACGTCTCCTGATTTCGGACGAACACACAATCTTTGGACCGGACCTGAATGTCACAAACATGCATATGTATAAATAAAAAAAAATTAGATATAAAAAATAAATAAAAAAATTAAAAAATTTCTTCTGATTCTGATAAAAAATTTCAAGATAGTTTTTCGCAAATAGTGTATTTTTTTAATTTTTGTAAACGATAGTTTTTATAAATCCGTTTTCGGCTATCTAAAATCTATTTATCGTCATATTGACCTGTTCCAGCAAATTGCTTGAAATGTATAGAAAACCACACGGAGCCAACCAGCCAAAGGCAAATTAATGCTAAACAGTAGATAAGCAAAACTTCCTGTGTTTGAATGAAACTTATAACAACTCGACTGCTCACAATACCTAAGTGCATCGCGGCAAAAGATACCCCTTGGTAGAAAGATGCATTTTGTGGATTAGTGATCTTCGAAAGAATGGCGTTGCTGAACGGAAAAGCGAAATAAGGCATACCAAAACATATGTACAAAAGGAGAATGTAGTTTTGAAAGTAACTGATGTGTTCCCAAGCAAAACCAAGCGATGTTAGCAAGGCTAATGCCGTTAACTGCATTGCCAAGGCAACCACAAAGAGTTTCCTTTCTTCTAGACGTTTGGAAGCTATCGAGAAGAGAATAAAAACAAGAAGAGTGAAAGCCGTACAATTGAGGAAGAGCAATTTAACGTGGATTAATTTAAGATGGAAATGATTCAAGGCAAGAACTGGGACATAAAATGTCGCCGTACTCGACAGAGATTCGTTCGAAAATACCAGAAAAAGTAGGCATAAAATTTGCGAGTTCCACTCAATCTTCGGCAAACCTTCTTGATCGTTGTCGGCGAGGGTTCGGCGAGAGCTCGTTTTTATTAAACGATCTTTGGCACTTTCGGCGCGTTTTTCACTCTCGCTTAAACTCGGATCCATCTTGACCAAATCTCGGCCACTCTTCGTATCATCATCGGTCAAACTTCGGGCACCCTTCGAATGGCTTGTCCCAGTTTCCACCCACATGTACTTTGGCGTTATCAAAGTCACGATCAAATATACGGCCCAAATCATGGTCAGTACTATCCCGGGAGAGTTTCCTTGGTTGATATGCCATCCCCAAATTGTGACGTTGAATGTAATGAAACTCCCAATGGCGGGTCCAAACGTTCCCCCAAGGCAGTAGATACCCTCCATTAAAACAAAAACTGAGGCCCGATTTTCAACTGTGGTTTGCAATGCGACCTGGCCTTGAAGTATTGCCATGGTACCACCAGCGCTTAGTCCGCTGATCAGTCGACCAAACAAAGGGAAGAATCCTGAAATATTGATGCTGTAGAGAACGTAGGCGATGAATTTAAGGCAACAAGTGAGAATAAAGAAGTGCCTCGGGTAGCCAAAGCGGTCAACCATGTGACCGAATAGCGGCCCACCAATTATAGCAGTGACGTTGAAGACTGACAATACAAATGCCAGAAAAAGCTGTAAATATAAGGATAATTTTTTGAAGTTGAAAGGTCTGCTCTGCGCATGTCGTCTGCTCATAGGGGGCGGTGTGACGCGCGAACAAAATGTCTTCAATGTTTCGAATGCGTAAATTTTTGCGTAAGGATGGTTTTAGAAGCTTTAAAAACAACTTCTCACGAAAGAAAAAGCTTGTTTTTAACGCTAATTGTATATCTTCTGTAATTAATGGGAATTACTGCAATTTCATTGGCATACGAGAGATCCTATGTGAGCAATAACCCCTGTTTACACTTTACAATTGAGAGTTTGGGAAATACAACGGCAACTGCAACGGTAAAATGTATAAACCTAATATTGTGTTATTCAAAGAAAATACGAGTTAAGGCACTGTTACACCGTGCAATTCTTCTTGCAACTTGGAATTCAATTCTACTTTTAAGATATGTAAATTTGGCAACAACGAAACATTTATGTCTATTACACTCCATGTACGTTTCTAACATATACATTTTGAAAACTCTGCACTAATTTATCTTAAGTAATCTCTTGAAAGTAAGATTGCATCGCCAGTTGCAAGAAAAATTGCACCGTGTAACATGGTTTTTAATATTGACCACTGAGCTTGACCTTGACTTGATTTGCCCAGTGAACTGTAATAAACTGGGCCTTTGTTTTGGTAGCCTGAGCACTAATACTGAGTACCCATTTTAGCCGTGCTAATATAATAAATTGAGTGTAGTGTAAACGGGGCTATAATTGCACCCTTGGCGAGGGGTATTTCCAGTCTTGCTCATGGCCAATAAAAACCAATCTAGTAAATACAGCTAGCCAATCACCATTCAGGATACAAAATGGGAATTTCGGTAATAAATTTCAATAATTCCAAATCGCTTTATTTACCATGCAAGTAGTGTCATGAAAAATTACTAGCCCCGTTAGACTACAATCAATTTATTAGGGTTATTATTTCATCAGGCTAACAATTCAATGGCCGAGCACGAATGATATTGGTACGGGTACAACGGGTACCATTTATGCCGGGCCGATAAATTGAATGCAGTGTAAACGTGCTTTGAGTGTACTGCAGTAAACAAAGTTCAATGAATTAAATGATATTGGCAATAATTGCACTCCTATATGTTTCATTACCATTACTAACTAACTCGTTGGATCGTAAATGATGGTTTGCAAATCTCAAATTCATACCTCATCTTGTCCCAAAGATCTCACATAATACCAGGCAGTCGGGGCGATGAAATAAGTCTCACATCCCTCCAAGAAATTCCGAACATATGAAAACTTGACTATCGGCAATTGTTTGCCCACTGACATATTCAATGTAATCGCTTGATCACTCCAGAGCTAGTAGAGGACCAGAAAAGCCTATATATGGTCAGATAAAAAGCTTATAAACCAAGGGTTGTCAACTTTCGATGTAACAGATGGCCATGGGCGTGCCGCGAGGGCGCCCCCTTCCCCATCAGATTGTTAGGCAAACAAGGCCAGTCGGGCGTATTATACAGATATTTTATGCTGACTTCTGCCCTGTAATTTGTAAGAAAATCTACCCCTAACCCTTGGATACGATACAAAATTGTTTCACATACATGATAAACAACCAACTAATAATATCTATAGGTAATAAAACTTCTACAACGTTCAGTGTTTGCAAAAATCTTAGGAACATTTAGCACATCCCGTTTTTATCCTTTTTAAAAATGGGCAGGGTGTCATTGCTTTACTTTTTCTTATTGGCCTATTCACTACTAGTACTCCAGATGTTAGCACCTAATTTGGACCCTTAGGATCAACACACTCCGGTGAATCAGTTTGAAACACTTTTTTCCGGAAGACTCACCTTTAGATTAACGCGCCCCGAGGCATTAGTTGAAAGGTTGTTATTCGGGAGAAACTCCTTAGGACCGGCACGTTCTGCAGCATCAACTTGAAGATTGTTTTCTGTATTAATGGGGATATTATTGGTATTACTAGAATTAATTGTATCAGTAAGGTCCTTTTCAGGGAGAAATTTTTGCCCCAAATTCAATAATCGTGATCTCAAATGTAAATTTTCCTTAGACAATTTGCATAACTTAATGTTGTTAATCTCGATAATTTGGGTTTGCTCCAATATTTTCGTTGACAAGGCCGGTACTTTAGAGGGGGTTGTTACCCGGCTTATTAGTTAACCTGCACCGTAAAACGAGAACGAACGAATATGCAAGTATGCTAATGTTTTCATTGAAATTGCGAAAAGCTGATTGGTTTGCATATTTAAACATGCACGAATGGACGAAAGCGACGAACGAATGAGCGACAAAAAGTCGCTTGTATACTAAACATGTTTTCAACCGTATTGTAATGCTTGTATATTTTTTTCTGTCGTTGTGCTGATAGAAAAACTACATTTCGGCTCATTCAATCAGGGATGGTGGAAGATAGTCTTAACTTAATGCCGTAAAGAAGATACACACAGACATGTATTACCATTAGATATATATTTGGGGATATGCAATACACATGCATGCGCACGTAAAAATCTCACATCTTGTAACTGCATGAAAACGCCTAAAGAATTGTAATTTCATCACATTTTTTATGTGAGCCTAATAGGTGGTGATCATAACAGAAAGGAATTTCATGTGATAGAAACTATTTAGCGTTAAGTTTAACTCGACTTTGTCATATTATTGTAATTTTCATAACATGCCAGTTAAAACGTATATTCAAATCCCGGGAGCATAATAAGTTCCATAGCCACAGTAAACTTAAATGCAAATCAGCAGTAACTGCTATATTACGATAGTTAAATTATTGTCGTCAGTCGCTTCGATCTCGCTTGTCTGCTCTTCCATTGCGGCATTTATCACCGGTATATACATTGAATATATTGCTTAACGGCGTTGTGCAAATTTAATAGCACTATGTTTAAAACCTCTACGTCGTCTGCCATGCTTTTTTAAACCGCTCATTCGTAGTTCGCACAATTGCAAATCCACCTGGAATTGCATATAAATACACGTATATGCAAATGTCTTAAAACACATGAAGAAATGCTTAAGAAATGTTGTAATAATTGCATTGAGGCTACTTAACACGACCTTGATTAACTATAAAATTCAATTGAGTTTACGAATTGACGACTTCGGTAAAATACTCAGGGTTCTATATATAATATTATTCAACTTAGTTATTCCTCAGTTTGGGATGTTATATACCATTACAGTTCATCAATCATCGTCATCTTGTTGCATGCCCCCTGTTTTAACCGTATAATATACACGATATCACAACACAAAATTACCTCACCAAAATATGCATGCTATGGCTTAAAGTATACAAACAAATATGATAATAAACTTGTTTTAGCCAATAGAAACCATCTATTTGAACGATTGTGAACCGTACTCTCGTTCAGTTAATGAGGCTACTCGTTCGTTCTCGTTCTACGGTGCAGGTTAACTATTAAAGGGGGTTGAACTGTCGACTGATTGAGCAAAAGGTAACTCGTTCACCACGGGTTTTTAATATATGTCAATAAACTCTTGTAGTTTGTCCATAGTTGTACTATCAGAGGCAGTTGAGATGCTAAGAGAAGATGGCTCTATTTCACAATTATAGATTCGTTAGTATCACAAACCAGGTCAATCGGCATTAATTCAGAGATAAGCGACGGATCATCAAAAACAAGACAGTCTCGATCAGGGTCAGGAAATACGCTCACTTCAAATGTAGGCGCTTTGGATGTACTTATATAAATAAGTAAGCTCTTCGGACTATCACCAACATCACCTTTGAAGGACAGAGTGTGAAGGTCATGATTCCAAGAGATAGATAAATCAGTATGGGAGCTGCGAAACTTCTTATATTTACCACCCGGCTCCGTCCAACGAACCAGGTTGAGTAACGAAACAATTCGTAAATCGCTTTCGCATTTCGAAAGAACTGAATCCGACCATTTAATTTTTTCACCGTCATATGTAAAACACTTCTCTTCCTTGTACCGTTTTATTTCGCAAAGATCCCAATTGTGAGGGGTAATTTCAGACCAATTAACAGAGCTCTATATACCAACCGCATCCGCCATCTTAGAATTAATAATAATATGAGTTTGCCCTGATCAAACTTATAGCCAAGAGCCAATATAACCAAGGAGCAGCATGGCAGCGTCTTCAAACAACTTAGCATCAAATGTGGTCAGGGCCGTAACTAGAACGATAATTGGGGGGTGTTTATTGATATATTCAGTTCTGCCCGACGGATTTCTTTTGTAAGTGCAATAGCTCACAATGGAAATCCGTCGGGCATAACTGAATATATGAATATTCACCCCCCCCCCCCAATTAGTTACGGCCCTGAATGTGGTATAATAACTGCCTAAATAGCCGAAACACTTCTCGACGTTTCGACCTGAGGGCCTTTCGGCAGTTGTTATACCACATTTGATGCTAAGTTATAGCCAAGGGGTCTACTCTCTATTAAGTGTTAAGTGTGTCCGGCGCCTTCAAGCTAAACTGATATAAACAGTTTGTGATATTAATTGTGTTTCCTGTTGAACCCCATTTTAATCAATAAAACCAACTTCACAATATTAAAACATATTCATACACTGATATATCAGAAAACTCACAAGCAGAGATCTATCGCGCAAACTTTATTGAAAGTACATGACTCACGAAGCAATCACATGCATCAACATTGCACCATCGTTTATAATCGCATAATTCTAATTTGACCCGACAAATTGTTGATGTGTATACACCTTTACCAACAAAGAGATATATATACATATAGTAAGTATATACCTACCCCTCGTATGCACAGTGTTTGAAATTGCTATGTGAGATAGCTCATCTTTAAAGAGAAAACTTTCACATGTCTGCATTAACCACTTGTTCATTGAATCGTTCAATGTCTGTATAACGGATACTGATAACGCTGTATTAATCAGTTCAGTGATTTCCCCCTTTTCGCAACCATATATTTGCATATTTTCTTTTGAATTATAAAGGAATATTATTCGCACAGCTCTTGTAACCAGTGAACTGTGGCATTACACCTTGCGTATAATGAGGTATAAACAAGCCGTGACACCTGAAGGGAATTCTGGTGATCTGGTCAAATTTTGAAGTTTGAATTTTCCGCCGTGACTACCAAAACCCGAATTCCCTGCAGGCGTGATGATTTGATACGTCATTATGCATAAGATCTATTGTTGTGATATGGTCTCCGGTCTACCGTGGTCTCTGGTCTCTATATGCCTGCTGGACGATTGCGCCATAAGCGTTGCGTTTCTCATCATTTATTTGATTGTGCATGTTTGTGCACTCGTGGGCTTGGAAAATTGATCAGCCATTTAAATTATAACTTGATTTCTAAAGGTCTTCTTTTTTATATACCCTATATAGATCATTTGCTGCCCACATACAGGGTGTCTCAAAAAAACCGAAAACTATTGAAATCACCCATAACAATGTAATTGTTAGAGTTTGAATGCCTAAGCACTCTGTTGGGACCCACAGGTGTATAAATGTTTGCCATAAGCATTTCTATGCATACATGTGATGCAGTAAAATTTGTTTGTACGCAAAAATGATATTTATTAACAATATTTACAATTTACAAATATGGATAACAATATTTAAATGTGCATCTCAATCACCATGACCTTCGCTATGCCCCCTTTCTCAAGCAAGACAAAGCGTTTAGCATTTCATAAGTTGTATTAAATCCCCACGGGCTAAAATTCGTGCACACTGCATTCAAATTTTAACATTGAGTGATTTCAATAGTTTTCGTTTTTTTTTGAGACGCCCTGTATACAGGGTGAGTAAAAAAAACCTGACACCTTGAAATTCAAATTAGCCACGAGCTTATGGCTGGATATTGACAATTCCCAGGTTAATTAATGCGAAAGTGTTTAAACCAATTGAACTAATTCAACGTGGCGCGTGTGCAAGAAAAACTATTTGATAGAACTGTTCTTTTTTATTTACAGAGCTTACAATGCATTTTAACTCCCAAATGGGTTCAATTATTTGATATGCTTCGTATACTTATGAGATATTTTAGGCAATTTCTGTCACATTACAGCCAAATTAGAATTTTTCGGTGACAAATTTTATTCAATTTTTAAAATTCTTTTTTAAAACCTGAAATTTATTTATCATCATAACCTGTTCCAGCAAATTGCTTGAAATGTATAGAAAACCACACGGAGCCAACCAACCAAAGACAAATTAATGCTAAACAGTAGATTAGCAAAACTTCCTGTGTTTGAATGAAACTTATAACAACTCGACTGCTCACAATACCAAAGTGCATCGCGGCAAAAGATACCCCTTGGTAGAAAGATGCATTTCCTGGATTAGTAATCTTCGAAAGAATGGTGTTGCTGAACGGAAAGGCGAAATAAGGCATACCGAAACATATGTACAATAGGAGAATGTAGTTTTGAAAGTAACTGATGTGTTCCCAGGCAAAACCAAGCGATGTTAGCAAGGCTAATGCGGTTAACTGCATTGCCAAGGCAACCACAAAGAGTTTCCTTTCTTCCACACGTTTGGAAGCCATCGAGAAGAGAATTAAAACAAGAAGAGTGAAAGCCGTACAATTGAGAAAGAGCAATTTAACGTGGATTAATTTAAGATGGAAATGATTCAAGGCAAGAACTGGGACATAAAATGTCGCCGTACTCGACAGAGATTCGTTCGAAAATACCAGAAAAAGTAGGCATAAAATTCGCGAGTTCCACTCAATCTTCGGCAAACCTTCGTGATCGGTGCCGGCGAGGGTTCGGCGAGAGCTCGTTTTTATTAAATGATCTTTGGCACTTTCGGCGCGCTTTTCTTTCTTGCTTAAACTCGGATCCATCTCGACTAGATCTCGGCCACTCTTCGTATCATCATCGCTCAAACTTCGGGCACCCTTCGAATGGGTTGTCCCAGTCTCCACCCACATGTGCTTTGGCGCTATCAAAGCCAGGGTCAAATATACGGTCCAAATCATGGTCAGTACTAACCCGGGAGAGTTTCCTTGGTTGATATGCCATCCCCAAATTGTAACGTCGAATGTGATGAAACTCCCAATGGCGGGTCCAAACGTTCCCCCAAGGCAGTAGATACCCTGCATTAAAACAAAAACTGAGGCCCGATTTTCAACCGTGGTTTGCAATGCGACCTGGCCTTGAAGTATTGCCACGGTACCACCAGCGCTTAGTCCGCTGATCAGTCGACCAAACAAAGGAAAGAATCCTGAAATATTGATGCTGTAGAGAACGTAGGAGAAGACTTTAAGGCAACAAGTGAGAATAAAGAAGTGCCTCGGGTAGCCAAAGCGGTCGACGATGCGACCGAATAGCGGCCCACCAATGATAGCAGTGACGTTGAAGACTGACAATACAAATGCCAAAAAAAGCTGTCAATAAAATGATAATTTCTTGATGATGTTATGTCTGTTCTGCGCATGTCGTCTGCTCATAAGGGTCAAAATAGGAATTTCGGTAGTAAATTTCAATAATTCCAAATCTTATTATTTACCAAGTATTGTCGTGACAAATTACTAGCCCTGTTTAGACTACACTCAATTTATTTGTACGGCACGGCAAAATCGTACCGGTGCCCATTTCTATTAGTGTTCAGGCTATCAATACAAAAGCCGAGCAGGGATGAAATTGACACGGGTACAACGGGTACCCATTTATGCCAGGCCGATAAATTGATTAATTTACTTTAATTGATTAATTTACATATGTAAATAGATTATATATATATATTCAAATCTCATGTAATTTTATATCACTTGTCTGAAGATGTCTTAGGTTAAAGACGAAACGTTACAAATATATTTACTTTTAAACTTTAAATTGTTTTGATGGCTTTCTTAAATGTTATATGTTGTGCTCTCATATTTATAATAAGAAATTGAATGCAGTGTAAACGGGCCTTGAATGTAGTGTAAACGGAGCTAATGAATTAAATCGTGTATTCGTATGATCTTGGCAATAATTGCACTTCTATTTGTTTCATTACCAATATTAAATAACTCGTTGGATCGTAAATGATGGTTTGCAAATCTCAAATTCATACCTCATCTTGTCCCAAAGATCTCACATAATACCAGGCAGTCGGGGCGATGAAATAGGTCTCACATCCAGCCAAGAAACTCCGAGCATATGAAAACTTGACTATCGGCAATTGTTTTCCCACTGACATTGTCAATGTCATTTCTTGAGCGCTTCAGAGCTAGTAGAGGACCGCAAAGTCTATATACGTTCAGATAAAAAGCTTATAAACCAAGGGTTTTGTATTATAGTGATGTTTTACTAACTTCCGCCCTGGAATATGCAAGAAATCTAACCCTTGGACACGATACAAGAATTGTTTCACATACATGATATATGTTAATTAAACAAAACGCTTATCTACCGCGATACACTTTATCCTTTTGCTTACGAATGTAGCACACTCTATGATATGCTAGTTAATAAGGCATAAATTTGCTAGAGGAGTTTGCCCTGATCAATCCAAGCTAACGTTTTTTATTAAGTAATACGTGCGTCTGGCGCCTTCAAGCTAAACTGATATAAACAGTTTGTGATATTAATCGCGTTTCCTGTTGAACCCCATTTTAATCAATAAAACCAACTTCACAATATTAAAACATATTCATACACTGATATATCAGAAAACTCACAAGCAGAGATCTATCGCGCAAACTTCATTGAAAGTACACGACTCACGAAGCAATCACATGCATCAACATTACACCATCGATTATGATCACATAATTCTAATTTGACCCGACAAATTGTTCATGTGTAAACCTTTACCAACAAAGAGATATATATACATATAGTAAGTATATACCTACCCCTCGTATGTACAGTGTTTGAAATTGCTATGTGAGATAGCTCCTCTTTAAAGAGAAAACTTTCACATGTCTGCATTAACCACTTGTTCATTGAATCGTTCAATGTCTGTACAACGGATAAAGCTGTATTAATCAGTTCAGTGATTTTCCCCTCTTCGCAACGATGTATTTGCATATTTTCTTTTGAATTATAAAGGAATAGTATTCGCACAGCTCTTGTAACCAGCGAACTGTGGAAATATATAGACATTGCGTAAAATGAGGCATAAACAATCCGTGACACCTGAAGGAAATTCTGGTGATCTGGTCAAATTTTGAAGTTTGAATTTTCCGCCGTGACCATAGGCGGCCCAGAACTGATCTCACTGACCTCGCGCTACGCTCATGTTGTCTGAACAGTCTTATATTATGACAAGGTTGGCAACTCTCACGCCAAATAAGCTAAAAACGCACGACGGTTGACTCAAACACCTTCACAAAACCGCAAATATTTCATAAAAATATGGCGAGTAAGAAAAAAAAAGTACAACACATTAAACTTGAATAATTTTACTACATTTATGCTATGTTTTTAGCATTCAAATGTATTCCTATGTATGTATAAAACGTGAATGTTTTTATGGTTTCTGGCAAATATATTTCAAAACCTATGCTGGGGACACCTTGCCTATACCACAGATTACCTATATACAGATATGAAACTTCAGTGTTTTTGCTGATTGTTTTGTGTCCCACGCGCAGCCAGCGCGTGTTGACTTCCGGCGAGCTTGGCAAGTGTCATGAGGGAATTTAATGAGTAAAACGCCGTTTTTAAGACGAAAAATTGCTTTTTTTAAAAACCCGCGCTACCTATGGCTATTTCGGGAATAAATTCTTAAAGAGTGTCGGTGTATGTATCCTTTGTTAATTGTGGGAAGGCAATTGAGCATATCTATAGCTCAAAATTGACTTTTGAAAATCAAAAAAGCTGGTGCAAGTGATGCCGAAAGATATTTGCATTGGCACTATGGAGTATATGTACTCTGGCTGAATTCTTTTCAATGAAGTCCCATATTTACACGTAAATATTATTTATCTGAATTTTTCAAGTTGTTAACCGTCTTTTAAATCTGTTTTTTCAAAAAATATCAAAGCAAAGAGTCTAATTATTGCTAATTTTAAACCCGAAACTCAAAACATAATATGGCCATGTCTGTATTTTTTGTCTTCAGAGTTCCGCTAAAAAGACTCGTATATGGTCATAATAGTCGCGCATAAGCAGCAATTTGTAAATTTTGTGTGAAAAATAGTCCAAGACAAGGGTGATGAAGTTGTTTTTTTATAGCCAAATCACTAAATACGCTGAATTGCTCGTCGTATTTACCTGCCATGTTCCGCATGTTGTTGTTGTTCATTTCAAGTACACAAAGTTTTTTAAGCTCCTATCATTTCGTTTTCACATTTCTATTAATCCCTAGATATTTGTTAATTCATTTCGTCTTATCTCCTGGAGATATATTGTATCTAAAGAATGTATTACATGTTTTATAAATTCAAAAATAACTCAGCCAGTGCTAAACCATTGCACAGCTTTCCATACGGCAAGCCCTGCACTCCTCAGCTATATTTTTTACTGTTTTTGCCTGCATCAAATAATTTCAGAAACCAGTTCTTAGCTCAGAAGATCTACTTCATCCATCTTTTTTAAAATTTTAAGTCAAATGGGACATGGCCCTAAAGGTTTTGTTTAAATCATGATTTGTTTGTCAAAAATTCGATTTTTCTATCGATTTACTCATTAAATTTCAACATGACACTTGCCAAGCAAGTTACGCATGCGCACATTAGGCAAAAAATCGTGTGACTCGATTTGGCTTCAGTTTCATATCTGTATATAGCTAATCTGTGCCTATACCTTCGTCATATTTTTAAAATTGAAAATAGAAAGCTGATTGGCTGTCGTTTAAAAATAGCCAATCAGGCTCAGCTTTCTATTTTCAATTTAAAATTATGACGAAGGTATAGGCAAGGTGTCCCCAGCATAGGTTTTGTAATATATTTGCCAGAAACCCAAAAAACATTCACGTTTTATACATGTATAGGAATACATTTGAATGCTAAAAACATAGTATAAATGTAGTAAAATTATTCAAGTTTAATGTGTTGTACTTTTTTTTTCTTACTCGCCATATTTTTATGAAATATTTGCAGTTTTGTGAAGGTGTTTAAGTCAACCGTCGTGCGTTTTTAGCTTATTTGGCGTGAGAGTTGCCAACCTTATCATAATATAAGACTGTTCAGACAACATGAGCGTAGTGCCAGGTCAGTGAGATCAGTTCTGGGCCGCCTATGCCGTGACTACCAAAACCCGAATTCCCTGCAGGCGTGATGGTTTGATACGTCATTATGCATAAGGTCTATTGTTGTGATATGGTTCCGGTCTCCACTAGCCATGGTCTGTGGTCTCTATATGCCTGCTGGACGATTGCGCCATAATCGTTGCGTTTCTCATATGTCAAAAGGCCTGTATTTAGACTACACGATAAGTTGTATGGAATTATCATTCTGACGAATGCCACAATATTCATTCAATTCTGTTCAGGGTGGGATTTAAAGTGTCACGTAGCCTCCTCCGCAGGCATCTCTTATGTATTTATTTTAGGCATTTATATTTGGCATAGGCTAGCTGTGTCGGGGAAGGCGAGGAAAAAAGCGGGAGAGACGCCTGCCATAAATCGACACAACAAATTGCACTGCGCATACCAGCTCGCGCAAGCTAGTTTTAGAAAAGATTGACAAAATCGTACTGTGTATAGGTCTGGTATGGGCGGGAGCAACCTCGTTCCCAGGGCCTTGGTGTGGAGGGGGCGAGGTGGAGAGAAGGCCCTGGCAAAGGCTGGTATCACGTGACCAAATTTTCCAATATATTTGGAAATTTTTCGCGCCAAATTTTGTAGCTCATTACTATTCTGTAAGACAAAGTAGTGCAAAGGGGTAGAGTTTATTGCAATTTCAACGTATAAATTATGACATTATGACAACTTTTTTAAATGCATTGCGGTACGCTATTGACTCTTCCGGGTATTCAAACGGAATGAAAAAAACGATCTTAGAACAATTGACTGACCCTTGCTATGACCTTAAGACAACCAGAGTTATTTTTGCAACTGTTGCCATAGGGCTCGGAGTAAATACCAGACACAGTACTAAAATGCGGTGCCCGCAATGCTTGCCTAGAAATAAAACGTCCGCTCATTTCTAACGACATCACCAACTTACATTCTCCTGTCGGCCGCAGCCTGGTTGGTTGGTACATTAAGGTCAAAATTGCGCCGTTTTAAAATCTTCAGAAATAAAATATTTAGGCTAAAAATACTATCTAAAAATACTATCAAAATGAAGAGAAACGTGAGACGAATAAACTGGTGTAGAGCCGGAAACTAGAAAAGCAACGATACAGAAGTCAAGGTTTAAGCGTACTGCATTTTTAATTTGTTTAATAATTTTGAGCGATTTGTCATGAAGTTCGCTTATTGAAACCATACTTTAAAACCTTCGAAATAGAATATATTTGGCTCAAAGTACTATAAAATAAATCGTAATGTAAGACCGATCCACTTATTTAAGGACGAAAATTAAAAGAGAAAACCAACGATATGAAAGATATCAAAGACCAAACTTACTATTACTAGTAAAGTATAGCATAGTAATTTTGAGCGATTTGTCAACAATTCAATTTCGTTTGTCTTTCAAACGTCATAAATCGCTGCGAATACTCTTGTTTAGTAATATATTTAAGACCTGTAAGTATAATTTCTTACGCTGAATCGAATGGTGGTATTTTTGTCCTTCTTCGGTGCATAAAAGCAGAGATACACGCAATTATCAGAGTTTGAGATTGAAATTGAAAAAAGAGCGTTCCTTTAAAAAAGGAATTTGGCAAACGTACAACAAGATTAATAGTAATAATTAGGAAAAAATTCCAAGCATTCCAAGCATGTGCAAGGAATTTTTACTAGGCGATTAAGGAAACGTATTGATGCGAACAAACAAACTCACAGGCAGAATATAATGCGGTGCCAAACTTGGCGCGGGCACCGCAATTCCTGACGTGCGACAAATAATTCATGTGACAGTACCGCGAGCGTTGGAAAGTTATAATCAGCAGATCGGGGAAGCAGGGCGTGATGGTTATCCTGCAAAAGCTTATCTTTATTATCATAGGCGTAGAGTACGGGGGGTAATAATTGCAAAAGGTAATAATTGCATCAGAGCAATGTTGAATCTTTAACTGAAAGGCAGCTTTATATAAACATGTAACGGTATTATCAGAGAATATAATAATATATCAAACAACTCGGAAAAGCAATTTCGAAATACGGAATTTCGATCGCATCCACTTCTTTCTGTATCGTTATTTTATGCAGGAGACTTTTTTGAATCGCCTTAAATGAAGTATATACCTAAGTTAGCTTAAGCATATTAGTGATCTTTTTTTAAGAAATGCAATTATCAATTATGTTTTCAATATGGACAAATTTGTTGTAAGAAAACGAAGAGCAAGCGAGCCGATCGATGAACTATCACCACAAGCTGACGATGAATTGACTGAAGCTGGTTTAGCTAAGGAGGACTTAAGCGCTGGCAGCAGATAAATTACTGAAAAACGCGACGACAAAGCCCAAAAAAAAATGCTGAAGAACTTTTCAAGATAAATGGAAACAAAAATTTAACTGGTTATTTTACAAAAATGAAAAAGAGAAAGCATTTTGCAGCATTTGCAAAACTGCAAGGGACAAGAGCATGCCATTTCCTACTTCATCAACTCAGAATAGTTTAGCCAAATTTTTTGTTGAGAACGGTTTTGGAAACTGGAAAAAGGCGCTAGAAACATTTCAGACAGAAGAAAAATCGGATTTTCACCGCGCTGCAGTTTTGATGGTGTCATCAGTGAGAAAAAAATCAGTTTCGCAATTGATTAGTAGTGGTCATACGAAACAAATGAAAGACAATAGAGTTGCTTTGGTCAAAATATTCACCAGTCTTTGATATCTTGGTCGTGAAGGACTGTCAATCAGAGGAAAGGTTGAACAAGAATCGAACCTATTAACTCTATTGAATGAA